ATTCCTGCTCTGTGCACTGTACCCTTGCATCCTGTTTCCCTTCTTTGCAACACCCCTCCCACCTTCTGACTGGGATATAAGGCCTCGGAGATTTGCATTCCAACTTATATCTGGCGAGGGTAGCTTTGAGTCTTTAAAGCTTATACCCTGAAAATCTTGTTGGTCTCTAAAGTGCTGTTTTGGTGTAGTGGCTAAGAGCCAGTTTGGTGTAGTGGTTAAGAGCAGCAGACTCTCATCTGGAAAGCCGGGTTTAATTCCCTACTCCTCCACGTGAAGCCAGCTGGGTGACCTTGGGTCAGTCACAGTTCTCTCAGAAGTCTCTCAGCCCCACTTACCTCACACAGTGTGTCTGTTGAGGGGAGAGGAAGGAAAGGAGATTGTAAGCTGCTCTGAGACTCCTTCGGGTAGTGAAGAGTAAGGTATAAAACCAACTCTTCTTCTCCTTATCATAGAATCATAGAGTTGGGAGGGGCCATACAGACCATCTAGTCCCTGCCCAATGCAGGACCAGCCTAAAGCATCTCTGACAAATATTCGTCCAGCCTCTTCTTGAAAGCTGTCAGTGAAGGGGAGCTAACCACCTCTCTAGGCAGCTGGTTCCACCTTTGAACCAGTCTGACTGTGAAAAAGTTTTTCCTAATATCCGCCCAATGCCTTTCTGCATGTAATTTAAAACCGTTGTTTCGGGTCCTATCCTCTGCTGCCAACTGGAACAGTCCTATCCTTCTATCAGTTCTGCTTTCTTTGTTTCTCCCCTACAGGGTTTGCCTCCAGCGGGTGACTTCTACCAGCCTCCTGCTGCAGCAGCTCCAGCAGCCCTCCTGCCAGCCAGGCCAGCAGCTCATCAGCTTGGCCACTCTTGGCTCTCAAAACGCAGCAAGTGGGTTCTCAGCTGCTTTCTTAGTTCCCTCCTTAAAAATGATATCCTTAGATGATCAGGTTCAACTCTTGGTTTGCTAACCAGCGGCCAGAATGCCATCCAGAGTGATCAGCACTGCAGCAGTGGGAAGACCTCGCCTTGTAGTACTTCAGGAAATCCTGTTGGATGCAGTGTTCTCCAGACTGGTTCTTCATGGAACCGATATCTCTGCCTTTCCCCCCACAAAGTTAGTTAATGAACAGGCAATGCTTAATTCAAGGGCAAGCCTGTCAAATGTCATCTGACCCAGAAACACCGGGCCAGTCCAAAAGTTCTGTGTCCTTGAGACACTGTGTCAGCAGCTACTTTTGCTAGAGAGGTATTTGGCCAAGGTGATAGCTATTAGCCAGCCAAATGGATGTGGGCGAAGCTTGCCCAGTGCAGCAGGAAAACATGGTGAGGACTTCGAGGCATCTTTTGATGAAGGTAGTTCAGCTAAGCCAGCCATTTACTGGCTGTACAGGCAGAACAGCACAGGGAGAGTGCTCCCTGGGTAGCATTCAACTGAACCCTAGCTGTTGTATGGCACGGTGGGATGTTGGTGGGACTCAGCACCTTTTGGTGCAGTTCTGTGCAGGAAATAAATAAGGTGCCAAAAAAAGTTCTTGCCAATCTCATTTTCTAAAATTAAAATTTAAAAGAAAAGATCCATGTGCCAGCCAGCAGAAAAGGTAAAAAGAGTTTCCCCATTGCTACCAAAACAACTACCCCATCTATGCCCTTGTTATAATTTAGCTGGAGACAGAGAAACAGTACCCATTACAGGGTCCCAGCATAATGAGGTGCTCACTCCTCCTATAGATTCACAAATGGGCTTCTACTCTGCTCGTTGGGATCTAGTATCATGAATGGGTGGTCTTGTCCAGTGTCCAGGGCATCCTGGATCTCTTGTGGCCAGAAATAATGTGACCAGGGTGCTCCAGCTGTCAAGGGGGTCTTGTTAGGGAGTCATGGGAAGTTGCCACAGGGGGCATGAGATCCTCCTGGGTTACTTTGTCCTTGGGGCTTGCCTTGGATTCCCTTCCTTCTCCACCTTCTCATATAATTACAAACGAGTTCAGGAAGGGCAGTGGTCTGGAAGGCTGATGGGCTGACCAGACTGTTGCATAGAGATCTGTGGGAAACAGTGCCTGCCTGCATGTATTTCAGGTGGGTACCGTCCAGAAGAGGAGGAAGAGGAGGCTGTGATTGGCTGGCAAGAGAAACTCTTCAGCCAGGTGAGTTAACAGTGATGCCTTCTCATTGTGAGTAAGCACTTTCCAGCACACCTTGGGAATCTTCTTTCAATTATCCTCAAGATAATCCTGTGATACAGATCAGGCTGAGTGACGAGCCCATGAGTTTCCCAGTATAATGATAACTTGAACCTCCGTCTCCACCCAAACTCAGCACGCTAGCCACTCTTCCACCCTGGCCTTCTGCACAGCACCGTTCCTGCATAATCCAGGTGTGTTATCATATCCAGGGTAATTTCCCCATTACCTATGCTGCATTCCACAAGCACTTCTGTGGTGGAAAACTGTAGGCTGATCCATCCATCCCTATTCAGCAGGGCTGCCTTTATTTTGGAACTGGTGGGTATGAAAACACCCGGCTGAATATGGCCTGATCCTTCTTGGGAAGGAACCACTCCTCCTAGACCCATAGTCCCACTGCTAGAAGGGTCATTGTTCTCTCCAGTTATCAACTGAGGTGACACAGCTGCCACTGTTCAGTTTTGGGTCATAGCACCATTCCACTGAAGGCAGATCAAGACACGTAGCCGTGTTAGTCTATCTATAGCAGTAGAAAAGATTAAGAGTCCAATGGCACCTTAAATACTAACAAAAATTTGTGGTAGGGTATGAACTTCCTTGAGTCACTGCTCACTTCTTCAGATACCTGAAGAAGTATCTGAAGAAGTGAGCAGTGACTCGTAGAATCACAGAGTTGGAAGGGGCCGTACGGGCCATCTAGTCCAACCCCCTGCTCAATGCGGGATGCGCCTAGAGCAGTGATGGCGAACCTTTTAGAGACTGAGTGCCCAAACTGCGACCCAAAACCCACTTATTTATCACAAAGGGCCAGCACGGCAATTTAACCTGAATACTGAGGTTTGACTTTAGAAAAAACAACTCATATTTTAAAGCAAGACAGTTCAGACAAAGTAAGGAAAGCAATCCCAAATGCTTTCATTTACTTAAAATGAGTTGGCAGAGAATTCAACACTTTAATGATGGTCTGGGCCTGGCTGGGGCGATGGCACGCGTGCCCACGGAGAGGGCTCTGAGTGCCACCTCTGGCACCCGTGCCATAGGTTCGCCACCCGTGCCATAGGTTCACTACCACTGGCCTAGAGCATCCCTGACTCATGAAAGCTCATACCCTACCAAACGTTTTGTTAGTCTTTAAGGTGCCACTGGAGGCAGAATTTTTAATCCCTGAGTTTGTGGCACGGTCTCAGTATAAATCCTGTTCTGCCTCTCTGTTCTTCCTGCTGCTCCTGGTTCCCTCTGCCTCTCTGCCATTTTCCTTGGAGCAAGGGACTGTGGAGAGTCTTCCAGCCCTGTCCATACTGGACTGGAGCTTCCCAGGGGCACTTACTTTGCCCATTGCTGCCAACTGCAGGTGTCATGAGCGGTTGGCAGTTGTTCTCCCCACCAGTGCTCCCTCTAAGCTGAGTTAGTGTGAGCTAGCTCAGTTTTTAGGCTCCAGCTCACACATTTTTGTCTTCGCTCAGGAAGGAGGGCTCCAGAGCAAACTAATTTATGCAGCTGTCAAATCGCTCACTCACGACTTTGATGCCAGTAGCTCACCAAGTAGAATTTTTGCTCACAGGACTCCATAGCTCAGAGGGAGCACTGCTCCCCACCCCAGTGTAATCAGCCATTTGGATGCTCTGCAATTCCACATTCTTCAAGAGAAAACATGTATATGAAGAGGTCTAAAAGTGATTTGGCATCCTTCTCCTTTCAAGCTTGCTTTAAATCAAACAGGTTAAATTTACCTGGAAGGGACTTGCTGAAAGCCGCCTCCCCTCTGAGCTGTTGCTTTTCTGTGATGTAATTTTAGCTCAGTCTGCACTATTCATGTTTGATCAGTCTGGCCCTTGTAGAAGCCTAGGATCATTCCAGCTTTGTTCTCAGCATTCTTTGCCGCATCCAGGGTGTTCTGTCCTGTGCTCAGTTTGAGGTGGATCTATACCAGAACAAGTCTGCTTGCCAGAGCCCACTGGACCGGCAGTACCACCAGGACATCCTGAAGCTGGAGAAGTCTGGGGGACGGAAGAACTACCGGATCTTCACGTACACGGACCACGACCGCTTCACCAACATGGAGGAGGTGCCTGAAGGGAACTCCACTGACTTCCTTTGCTGGGGGTGGGTGGGGGGAGGAGGGTAAGGAGCTGCCCACTTCAGGCAGTTGAGCAGCTAGGGAGCAGGAAATGAACTGAGAACCGACTTCTCTAAGGCTGAACGCTGTCAACGCATTTTGATATTTGCCGTTTGTGTCGCAAGCACGTGAGTCGGGCCGCTGTTCCCATTTTCCAGATGGAGCAAGGAAAGTTAAGGCTGTTGGAAAGTCGGTGGCTGAGTTAACTCTCTGAGAAAGTCGGTGGCTGAGTTAACTCTCTGAGTTAACTCTCTGTGGGGGGACTTTACTCATAAGAGGCCCAATACTCTTATGCAAGTCAATATTACAGGCTCCTCTTTTTTTGGTAGGATGCAGCAGGGAAAGCAGAGAGGAGCCTCTGCCACCACTCCCCTGCCGTGGTAATTTCATCATTTCCCCAAGAGCTTATTGATGGCTGGAGGAGCTGGAGAGCCAGTTTGGTGCGGTGGTTAAGAGCGACGGACTCTAACCTGGGAGAACCGGGTTTGATTCCCCACTCCTCCACATGCAGCTGCTGGTGGCCCCTGGGCAAGCCACAGTTCTCTCAGAGCTGTTCTCTCAAGAGCAATTCTCAGTCAGAGCTCTCTCAGCCCCACCTACCTCACAGGGTGTCTGTTTGTGGGGGGAGGAAGGGAAGGAGATTGTAAGCCGCTCTGAGACTCCCAAGTGAAGGGTGGGATATAAATCCAATCTCTTCTTCTTCTTCCCCTGGCGGTCTCACTGTGGAGGACAGATTAGAGGCCAGGATGGGGTTTGTTTTACTTTCACACATGCAGCAGGAAACTAACAGCCCATCTCCCTGTGTTCCAGCACTGCAAGCGGGTGACCACGTCTGCCCAGGAAGCACCTTCATACTTAGCAGAGAGGATGGCCAACGTGAGAAGGAGAAGGCAGGAGCGCAAGCCACTGTGAGTGGAATTGTCAAGAGTGCTTTTGTGGGTTTGTGGCTCCTACGGTTTGGGTCCACTGTGGGGGAATCCATCCATCTAGCCATCCGCCTCTCATGTTGCACTTCATGCTGAATTGTGAGCAGTGCTCTCCTGCAGGGATGGCAGCGTCTTCAAGTCCCGCATTGTCACCTGGAAGCCCTCCGAAGAGTTCATCAAGAACAATCATGTCATCAACACCCCCATGCAGACCATGTACATAATGGCAGACCTGGGCCCCCAGGACAAGTAAGTCAGTGCTCAAAATAACCTGTTGATAGATAGAAGCTCTCTTTTGCATGCGCATGTACACCGCTCTCCCTTCCACATGTTTGGAGGTTGGTCAAAGTCAATTGCTCCGCTGAACTTGACCAGTGCAGTAATTTGGCTTCTGTTTCTGGGATTTTCTAGCTCCTGGGGTTGTGTGGGTGTCAGGCCAATCCAACATTTGGGGAATCTGTCCCTTGCATAAGGACCTGTCAAGGGAAGCCAGAGCCAGGAGGGCGAAGCAAGTCTGTTCTGATGGTTTTACTTAGTCCTTACTAAAATAGCACTGTGGTGTGCAATATATCCTAAACACAGTTTTTTTTAATATGTTGTCGAAGGCTTTCACAGCCGGAGTTCATTACTTGTTGTAGATTTTCCGGGCTGTATGGCCATGGTCTTGGTATTGTAGTACCTGACGTTTCGCCAGCAGCCGTGACTGGCATCCTCAGAGGTATAATACAACTACAACAACTAATATTTTTTTTTGCTGAATAAGTGACAGCTTGAGATCCATGGAAACAGCAAGTATGAAGTTTAGGGTCATATCTCAATGCTTTGGCAAAAACAGGTTGATCTAGCTACTTATCCCATTCCTTCCTGAGACTCTGGGTATCATATTCATCAATCCACATCAAATATTTATAAACAGATATTGTAGGTTTCATTTTCTGCCTTGATTCAATCGGAGCTTCCAGGAGTAAAGGAGATTCTGAAACAGTGCTTTGGGGCCATAGTTAGCTGCCAACAGCTGTTGCAGCTGTCGATAGTGCCATTCGATAGAGGATGACAAATCGTATCTAGACATCACCTGGATGAGAGACCTCCTGATGGCACTGGTATTTCTGGCCACTGTGTGATACAGTGCTGGACTGGATGGGCCTTTGGCCTGATCCAACATTGGCGTCTCTTATGTTCTTATATAAAACGACACAAACTCACCATCATACTCTATTGATTGAGAGGAGGGAGGCCAGATACAGGTGGGTGGAGCAAAGCTGATGGCTGCAGGTGACCCAGATGTAACCCAGTAGGTTTTCCAGCCAACGAGGACCCGAGAGATCTCCCCGGACTGGGAAGAGGAGAAGACTTTCCTACTTCCTGAGACAGCCTGAGCTGGCTGAAGTGTCTGTCTTTACCACCAGAGGTCCTGGGTTTGGGTCCCAAGTTTCATAAGAAAGGATCCATGTGAGCCACACTCCGCAGAGTGCCCTGTGCTGCCAGGCTCCTTGGTCTTTGGGAGACCAGGCCCGTTTTCATGCTGATATTCCCACAGACTCGGCCATGGGGACTGCGAACACGTCCTTTGCACGATCAGGGTGGATAGCAATGGAGTCATCACAGTCAAGCCAGATTTCACAGGCACAAAAGGGGCTTACCGGTGAGTAGAGTGAGCCCTGAATCCCAGACCAGTTAGTCTTTGGGATGAGTGGGGATCGAGACAGCTTGCAGTTTCTAAAGAGCCCACTCGCTGCCCTCCTTTGTAGGGGAGAGGGAGGAGGCTACTTCTGGGCCCGTTAGCCTCATCATGTTCTCAGAGTGTTACGTTTGGTGTTTGGGACTGTGAAGGATTGAGTTAGAAGGCGAGAAGCGGGAGCTGTGGAAGTACACTCTGGAGAACGCCTCGGCCGTGGTGCAGCGGGAGGAAGAGGAGCGAGAGCAGCGTGTCTTCAAGGATGTAAGGGTCACCTGTTGTTGCTTGTGAGTGTGTAGATGGAGTTCAGGGTGCGGGCAGGCTGCCATCGCAGCCGAGGCACTGTGGAGGAGAAAGCTGGGTCAGGCCGCCTTGTCAGGTGTCAGGAGGCACACTGAAACTTTGGTGGACATGGAGCTGCAGGCAGCGTGACTCTACCTGTGCTACGGAACCACTTTTTTGCCTCTGGAGTTACCAGTGGGCATCTCCTTGAGAAGCAGCCACCCACCACCCCCTTTTTCACCAGCCATACATGCCCTTACCACCCCAGATCTGATGACCGACCCTATGATCTGCCCAAAATCCAGCCAGAAACAGTTTCCCAAAAGAACCATTTTGCTCCGTAGATGTCTGGCCGCTCTTGAAGCTGGCCTAGAGAAAAAGTGTGTGTGTGTGGAGGGGACATCTGAGATGTTTTGATTTCTGTGTCCTCAAGATGCTTGCCGGAGCTACTCCTTACTTTGTGTCTTTTTCTTTAGTTGTACAGTCGGCACAAGGAGTACCTCCAAGGACTCGTTGGCTCTGACTTTGAGATGGTGAGTAACGTGTGTGTGTGTGTGTAGAAGGCAGCCATTGCCTGGATGAGGGCAGAGGTCATGAGCTGGCACCACCTGCTTGGGCTGCCAGGCCCAAAAGCTGGTTCAGTTCCCAGCAGAGGGCATCACATTGGCCAGCTGAATTTGGTACTGTGCGCTTGTCACTGTTGAAAGCCACCTTGAGAACGAGAACTCCTGTGCATCGTGCAAATCAGTGGAAATCATTTCGTTTGGTCAAAGAGGTGATTATAAGCTAAGAACGGGAGTCGGCAAGAAGGGGTTGGTAAGGCGTGAGGGAAGGCTGTTTTCCTGTTGGGATGTCAAATGAGCTTTAGCCGGAATGTGGTAAATTAGAAATGAACAGCAGGATGGTGCCAGAGGCCAAAAGGTTAAACCTCAAAATATGCTGCACAACCAAAATTAAGGAACGGCAAGTCCAGGCATCCAGCCTCCATGGATGAATCTTCTGCCCAAGTCACAAGCAGGGAATGTGTGGGCCATTCTATGGAAAGGCTCTGACAGTAGAGGAGGGCCACCCTTTGCACATGAGAAGCGTCCAGGGCATGCCTTAACAAGAAAAGGTCTCTCTGATTTGTAAACAGTTTATAATTAAATAACCCCGTAAGTTAAAATGGTATATAATAGATAAGTGACAAGTTTTATGGTATAAGGGGTCGGAAAGCTATTAAGGTGTTTCAACGTGAAACAGTGGGCATAATGAGGAGGGAGAGGGGAGTGCTCCCCCGTAAGTCCTCTCACAGGAGGAGGAAAGGCTGAGCTCCTCTCCGCCGAGCTTTTGGCCCCAGGTATGAGAGGCAACCCATTTGGTTTTCTAGGTGAACTTGTTTGTTTTTTTGTTTTTAAAGAATAAATTGGAAGTAAAAAAGGTAAGGGTAAAGGTTCCCTTGCTCGAAAGCCTGTCAAATCCGACTCTAGGGTTGTGGTGCTCATCTCTGTTTCCAAGCTGAAGAGCCAGCACTGTGAAGACATTTCTGTGGTCATGTGGCCGGCATGACTAAACACCAAGGCGCACGGAACGCTGTTACCTTCCCACTGAAGTGGTACCTATTTATCTACTTGCAATTTCTTGCTTTCGAACTGCTAGGTTGGCAGGAGCTGGAACTAGAGACGGGAGCTCACTCCGTCATGCGGCACACTCGGGTCTTGAACTGCTGAACTACCGACCTTCCACAGCCTGCAGTTCAGCATCTTAACCACTTGAGCCACCGCAGCTCCTTTTAAATTGGAAGTATTTAACAGCAAATAGTGAACTGAAGAACGACTAATGTTATGTTAAAATATGTACTGTAATGAATGCGAATAAGGAAGAGGAATCTAGGGAACTAAATGCAATCAAATGTAACGGGTAGCATTAGATAATAGTAGACAGAATAGAAAGTAATCCTCGTTTAGCATTTAGATATAATAGGAGTCAGTGGATGAGCTGGAGAATACTTTCTATTAATAAAGGGGGTGAATAATGTAATAGACTGTTGGAAAATTAATATTTGTATCATCGTTCACTATAATAATTAATAAACTGTGAATTAAAAAAAAAGGTCTCTCTGTTCTGGGGGGGGGGGAACCCATCTCTGACATCTCTCTGTTCACTCTTATAGACTCTTCCTGGGTCACTGCGACTCTTCATTAATGGTGAAATTGGTAAGAGGCTCTTTGAATTGTCTTCCCTGCCTGCCTCCCTTGCTGATTCCCCCCCCCCCAACACACACACTGTTAGACAAGTCCCAGGGGTGTTAAACTGCTCTCTAAACTCGGCAAAGTCTATTGGTGGGCTGCTCCTGGGGATTGAACTGAGAGTGGAGAAAGCTCGAGCCCAGAAATGAGGGGCGCTCTGGCTAGAGCAAGTGTAGGAGCTTAAGGCATGGGCTCCTCCATCCCATCTCCTGTCCCATGTAGCTCTTCTGGGGGGGCACTCTCTTAATTTGCCCTTCCTTTGCTTCTGGTCTGGCCTTACCCCTTTTAACTGCGGCTCACTATAGCTGCTTGAGTGGACACATGTGAAGGTTGCAGCTTGACAGAAAACTAGGCACTGCCCACAAGTGATTCCATGCTCTTTTTCCTGGAGGGGGCGCATACAGTTAACCTTTCAGCCGCTGTGCCTGCTCAGTGCTGCTCTGATGTTGTGGAAGTCGGTGGGGTGGGCTTTGGTTAAGAGCTAGGGAAGGCTAGTGTGGATGCGATCTGTCGCTGCTTCTTTGTCTTAGTTTCAGCCCAGGGCTACGAGTACAACAATCTCTACATCCACTTTTTCCTGGAGCTGCCCAGCCGTGAGTAAACGAAAAGGGGAGTTCTGGGGAGGCCGGGTGAAAGTGGCATGACGCATACCACACAGAGACGTCAGCAAACGTTCAGGGGACCTTTGGGTATCTCTGTGATGTGCTGTTGTGTTGCTGTGAAGCCTCCCTGTCAAATTGCAGCGGTGAATCACGGCTCCTTGTGCCACCAGAGCTGGGCTTTGCGGTTCTAAACTTAGGTGACCCTTAAGAATGCTTCCTTCCACTTGTTTCTGGGTTCTGGCTTTGTGCTTGGAGGCATCGTTTACCTGGTGCCACATCCCCTCTGAGATCCGGCCTTGGGGTGGAGGCTGCCTCGGAGCAATGCTGATGTGATCACCCCACCAGGAATTTGTTTGCTGTTACAAACGCTACACGTAGCACACTCCCACACTCCCCACAGTACATCCAGCTTCTGCAGCTACTTTCATTGTGTATCTGTTGGTGCACCATCAACTGGGGGTGTGGCCTGGGGATGAGGTTAATATGCCCTTTCCTTTTAATTGGTAAATGTGGCACTCACCCCTCCTGATTGGGCTCCTGTTCTTTTTTTTTCTTTTCTTTTGTATTTTTTGCAGTGCGTGTGTGTGCACGCATGTGCCTGGAAGTCATGGCGACCTCTGGCAACTCCTACTTGGGGCATGGAGGATGTTCAGAGAAGTGGCTTGATAGCTTGCCTCTGCCTTCCAGTGTTCCCTCTAAGCTGAGTTAGTGTGAGCTAACTCACAGCTTTTGAGCCTCCGGCTCACACATTTTTGTCTTAGCTCAGGAACGAGGGCTCCAGAGCAAACTAATTTATGCAGTAGCTGAATCACTCGCTCACAACTTTAATGCCAGTAGCTCACAAAGTAGAATTTTTGCTCACAAGACTCCACAGCTTAGAGAGAACATCTGGCCCTGGTATTCTTTGGAGGTCTCCCATCCAAATACTTGCCAGGGTTGGCCCTGCTTAGCTTGCAGGCTCTGACAAGATTGGGCTTGCCTGGGCTATCCAGGCCAGGGCATTGGGTGCCCATTCTTGTCAGGTTCCATGTTGTTAGACAATGAAATACTTGTTTGTTCAGTGGGAGTGGGCTGCCTGTATTGGCTCCAGTTTAGTGCCCCCCGACATTGCCAAGCACTCAGCATACAGCCGGTCGGGGGTATGGGGGTCCTCCCCGTTCTTGCCCGGCATCACCTCCTGATTCCTGTTCCCCTTCCCTGCGGAGGTAACTCCTATGCTCCTCTCTTGTAGGCTGGTCATGCCCCCCATCCCAACAGCTGTCCGGAGTGACACAGACCTGTGCCACCAAGGTCATTGGCAAGGTAAGGGGCATGTGCGTCGGGTTTCCTGTCTTCTGCCTGCATTTCCCATGGGAACCGGAACAAATATTTAAAGATCTTAGTCCCACCAGATACTTGAAATGGATCTGGAATAATACTTCCAGTTACTTAATGGCCACCAATATGACTGAAAGTTGGAAAAAATAGTGTCAATGGCACTTAACATCTTACAAACTGAAAATTATTTGTAATCTTGATAACGAGTGGTAGATACTGGTGTGGTGATGTTGAAAAAGATTTGAAAGGTGGTTTTATCCTGTGTTGAGCAAATACCAGGATATGAGATCGCTGAGGATTTTTTATTGTGTCTAAAAATGGAATTTAAATGAACTGAGAGGCAATCTGCAGTCAAGATGGCCGTGGCCAGTGGTTGGGAGAAGTCTGTTCCCCTTCAAATCTCAGAGCAGCTTTATTTCACCAGTCGACCAATGAAATAAATTTTTATTAAAATATATACTTATCTCTGCAAGTTCAAAGCCGCTTGCAACCAGTGGCTGAAGCAATTGGGGGGGAATGTCCAAATGCCTTGATGGAAACAATTAACAATAACTATGAACAGATCAGCCAAGGAAAGTTATTGGAGGGAAAAAAGGGTCACGTTTAGCTATCGTGGTAAATATCTACTGGTGGTCCTCTCCCTTATCAGTGGGGGGCGGGGCTGTGGCTCAGTGCCGGAGCTCCTGGACTGTAAGGCAGAAGGCTTCCACTACCCCCGCTATAGCAGACGCCAAGTCACTCTGTCTCCTCCTGCCCTGTTTGGAAGCTGACTTTGGCTCTTTCCTTCCCAGGACAGGGTGGCCTTTTTCTCCTTCCCTTTCACTCTAGAGGTGTTTTTTACCCAAGAGGATGAGTTGGAAGGTGAGTCTTCGGGGATTGCACCCTGCAGTGTGCACAAATGAGGAGGGCTGTTGTGGGGGATCAGGCAGCTGAGTCGGGCAACAGATTACGGGCATGAGCACGAGAGATGGATGGCTCTGAGGCACAGAGTCCAGTCCATGGGGACCTTCTGCACAGGCCCATTGAATGAACAGGAGGTGGCCGTACACAGCTCTCATTCATTCCAGTGAGGCGTACGCAAGAGAATTTCTGGGGGAGGGGGGCTGCCATTTAGCGCTTTCACCTCCAGCACCAAAAATCTTCGGGCCGGTGTGAGGGGAGGGCCATGCCCCAGCATCCTCCATGAAATCTGTCTTCACCAAAGGAAGGGCCAAGACAAAGGGTGCCCTGTGTGATAAAAGGCCCTGATCTCCATGCCTTCCCCTCTCTGGCAGGCTCTCTCCCCCAGTGGCCTGTGCTCTACTTCGAGGTCCTCTCCTTGGATTTCTGGCAGAGGTATCGCGTCGAAGGCTACGGTTTTGTGATGCTGCCAGCAACACCGGGTAAAAAGCTGGACTGTGCTTCCACGGCACATTCACCGCCTGGTATTGGCATGGGGGTGGGGGAGGTTCAGTCCCTCAACTTGCATAGCCTCCACTTTATATGCTGCAACACGTTTGGGATTAAAAACTATCTTGGGTTCAAGACAGAGGTCGATAGAGTTACCGTAGATACCTTTTAAAGCAGATTTTGATGGGTCCCCCTTTCTGCTATGATCGACGAGGCTATTCCCCCCACACAAACACACACACATTCATTCTGTTTTTATCCCTTCCTCTCTGCAAGGAGCTCTGGGCTGCATCCATGGCTCTCTCACTTGCCCCTCGCAACAACCCAATAGATTAGGTTAAGTGAGAAAGTGTGACTGACCCCAAGTCAGCCCGTGAGCTTTATGGCTGAGCCACAATTTGGAGAAGAGTCTCAGAGCATCTTACAATCTCGTTTCCCTTTCCCTCTCCACAACAGACACCCTGTGAGGTAGGTGGGGCTAAGAGACCTCTGACAGAGGACTGCTCTTGAGAGAACAGCTCTGAGAGAACTTGTGACTGACCCAAGGTCACCCCAGCAGCTGCATGTGGAGGAGTGGGGAATCAAACCCAGTTCTCTCAGCTTTGAGTCCGCGCTCTTAACCACTACACCAAACTAGCTTCCCCAGCCCAGTCTGACAGTACTGTCTATGCCACGTTGATTCTCGCTGGTTCCATTCCCATGGCTCTGTGAGCCACCAAAAAATCCCGCAACCGGAGACAGAAGTTGAGACGTGCAGAATTGCATCCAGCAGAGTCTCCTGGGATAAATTACCAGTCTAAAATGTTGCCACCTCCTTTTTTCCTTTGCTGGCTGTGCTCCTGTCAGGTGGTGGAAGTTTGGCCAGGAAACTCTCCCTCACCTGGGCACAGGAACAGGGCTAGTAAAACGTTTTTTATAAGCGCTGGTGGCAACTCCTGCTTCCAGCTCGGAGAGCATTGAGCCTGTGCCTTGGGGAACTCACAGTGCCCTTCCCATTCAGCTCCAAAGCCCATTGGGGGTGGCACTCTCACTCTGACTGATTTCCCTCCTGGGGTTCTTGAGAGGCAAAAATGAGAGAGTATTATCCTCTGAGCTCCTTGAAAGAAGGGCAACATATATAAACAAATTAGAGCCAAGCATCCCCCCCCCCGGTCCAGTAGGGTTTGTCTACCTGAGCGGTTTTGGCGCTCCTTTGCTCACAGCATGTTGCTTGGCTCCATTGTGTGAGTCGCCTGTTCTTGTTTGTTCCACAGGCGCCTTCTAGTGATGATTTCTGTGCCCCGTTGGACAGCAGATGGGGGGGGGCTGCAGCTGGGGTGCTAAGCAGCATCTGGTCTTGGCTCTGTCAGGCAGGCAGCTGAACCTGGTGGTCTCTTCCATTTTTGTGGCTTAGGGGCTCATACCTTGACCGTTTCCACTTGGCGTCCAGTGGAACCCGGCACCGTCTCAGAACTGCGGCGGTTTTTCATCGGCGGATCTCCGGAACTTGAAGACTTGACCTACACCAGGGTGCCCAGCACCTTCCAGGTAGGTCTGTGCAACTGTAGGGTGATGGGGTCTCTTTCTCTCCCTCATATATATGCCAGGAGTCTTGGCTTGCAGGATGTCCCACTGCACCACTGGAGGAAGAAGAACTTGGGCAAGCTGTAGGGGAAGTGTGGGCAGGAGAGGGAAGTTCTTGAGGGTCGCTGTAATCACCTGGTGCTCCTCCAGCAGGGTGACCGCCTGAGTCGGTTCGGCTTCCGCACGGAGACGACAGGCAGCGTCACTTTCAGGCTGAACTGCCTGCAGCAGTCCAAGTAAGTGGTGACCTCAGCCAGAGAGGAAAGAAGTACCGGCTGGATATTAGGAAAAACCAGGGGTCGTTTCGTAGAAAAAGAGCTAGGGGAACTCATTAGCATAACTCATTAGCATATGCCACACCCCCTGACATCACCGGAAGTGTGTCATAAGGCCACACACACCCCGCCCCCAACGGTCCCGGCCGCCGCCACCGGCCTTGCAGCTCCACTGCCGATCCCCATGAGGGGCCCGGCGGTGGACCTGCAAGGTCGGCGGGAGTGCAACGAAGCCTCGTGAAGGCCCTCCCTGGCCCCAAGCAGGCAGGGGTGGGGAGAGGCAGGGAGGAAGCAACTTACCCTCCCTCTTCTCCTGCCTCCTCCTGGCTGAATGAGGGTCGGAAGCGGGACGGTCAGAAGCAGGGGGCGGGGCTTCGTCATGTGCCCCGCCCCTGTACCTCACCCGGGGGAACTGCGATCGCCCGCGTTCCCCCCCGAAATGACCTCTGGGAAAAACGTTTTCACGGTCAGAGTGGTTCAGAGGTGGAATCAGCTTCCTAGGGAGGTGGTTGGCTCCCCTTCACTGACAGCTTTCAAGAAGAGGCTGGGTGAATATTTGCCAGAGATGCTTTAGGCTGGTCCTGCATTGGGCAGGGGGTTGGACTAGATGGTCTGTATGGCCCCTCCCGACTCTATATGATTCTGTGAAGTCAGAACACTCTCAGGTGGGGTGACAGGGGAGCCCACCTCCTCTCTGGGTTCATGTTCAGGGAGATTTGGGGGGCGGAAATGCCTGAATGTCGGTCGTATTTTACTTGACTTTCAAGACCCAGCTTGGTTACTTTAGGATACTGTGCTCCGTGTCTCCCTTGTGACTCAAGATGGCTTACTGTCCCAACTTTCAGAACACGCCAAGTACAATAAACCCTCCGCCCAAGAAGGTGCCTGCAGCCCATGCAAAGCCCTCGCCAGCAAAACGGCCTGACACCACCTCCGTAACAACGTCTAAAGATGGTGCCCCTCACCTCCGCAGGGAGACCCATCCCACGGCTACTCTAGTCGATTCCCAGTGACCCCAGTTTGGCCCAAGTTTGCCATGGCTTGGGAGCTTAGTAGGGGTCAGCCACGGTCAGTACTTGGAATAGACCACCAAAGAAGTCCAGGGTTGCTGTGCAGAGGCAGGCAATGGAAAGCCACCTTCTGTTCGTCTCTTGCCTTGCAAAACCGCATTAGGGGTCACCTTAAGTCGGCTGCGACTGGGCAGCACGCCCTTCTTCTTCCGGTTGATGCCAAGCAGGCTACCTTAAGTGGGGGAACAACATGGAAATCTGTATTTGCGTGGGGGGGGGGGGACACAGGGTTATATCGTTCGAGATTCCAGTTATATAAATTCTTAGTATAAATGTTAGATTAACAAGGCGTTCTTCTATACGTCGTTTTTGTTTGTTTACGAAGGGGCACATGTCTACAGTGAGTTTTTCAGAGCAGTCGTAAGAGCACATCCCCTCCCCCATCCCAGTACTGAGCCGGAGGCGCTAGGAGGGAAGGGATCTGGCCAGCAGGGGGCAGAGTGGGGGGGACAGGTGCCCATGGAGCTTTGCTAACCAGTGGACGGGACGGGCTCCTTATTGGATTGCAGCACCTTTTACCTGAGATCCTGTAACCGGTGATCAATGTTCCCTCTAAGCTGTGGAGTCTTGTGAGCAAAAATTCTACTTTGTGAGCTACTGGCATTAAAGTTGTGAGCGAGCAGTTTGGCTACTGCAGAAATCAGTTTCTTCTGGAGCCATCCTTCCTGAGCTAAGACAAAAGTCTTGAACCAGAGGCTAAAAAACTGCGAGCTAACTCACACTAACTCAGCTTAGAGGGAACACTGCCGGTGATCCTGCCAGGGAATGAACTTGGGATCTCCAGCAAAGCAGGTGCTCTGCCACTGAGCCACGCCCCTCCCCTGATTCAGCTCAGTTCCCAAAAGGCGAGATAAGGAGCAGCTGGCAGAGCGACACCCGTGTTTTCCCACTGTAGGGTGCTTTAGATGCCTCGACCCTTATCTGCACAGCCCTCAGCCCCTACTGTTGGGTAGACGTGATGGCTGGAGATCTCACACATGGACCCAGCAGAGAAACGGCCGCAGGTGTGCCAAGTCACTGAGCTTTGTGCAGGTCTTCCAAAGGGCTAGGAAGTGTGTGTGCCCTATGGAGGAGTAAGGTTCACCGAGTACCCACCGTGCTTATCCCACTGTGATCCCCCTCCATTGAGAACTGAAGGCGCCAGGTCATCAACAGAGTTGTGCTGAATCAGACCAAAGGTTTAGCTGGTCCAGCATTCCTTTCCCTAGCAAATTCGCCACGAGCCAGGCACGGACCTGTTTGTCTTCAGCATCTGGTACACGGCCTCTGCACACAAAGCCTTTGTTTCATGGCCAGAATCTTCCTCTCCGTGAATCTGTCTTGTGTTTTGTAGCCATTATGGAAAGCATTGAGGTTCCAGGTCTGAACTCTGATCTGGGACTCCTCTCTTGGTAGGGCTTTCCTGGAGTCCAGCTCTATGAAGAAGCGCATGCAGAGTGTCCTGGACCGGATGGGCGGCTTCAGCCAGCGGGGCTCCCTCTACGGTGTCCTAGGTGAGGTGTTTGCTGCCAGGGATGCTTTACACTAAAATTTATACCCCACCCTTCGCTTGGAATCTCAGAGCGGCTTACAGTCTCTTACCCTTCCTCTCCCCACAACAGACACCCTGTGAGGTAGGTGGGGCTGAGAGAGTTCTGAGAGGACTGCTCTTGAGAGATCAGCTCTGAGAGAACTGTGACTGACCCAAGGTCACCCAGCTGGCTTCATACTGAGGAGTGGGGAATCAAAGCCAGTTCTCCAGATTATAGTCCGCCACTCTTAACCACTACACCACACTGGCTCATTGAGCCATAAAGCTCAACTGGATGACCTTCATCTCAGCCAAACCCGCATCACAGGGTTGTTATGAGGGCCAAATGGAGAGAACAAGGTATGCCATCCTGAGCTCTTTGGAAGAAGGGCTGTGTACAAATGTCACAGATAGTAATGGAAATTGTTATGGGCCATTCATACCTCCCTCCTAAATGTGCATGTGTTTGAATGTTAAGCTTTTTAAAAAGAAAAGGTTAGGGAACATGTGACCCCCATAAACCCTTTTACCTGGGTTTCAACCCATACCCTTTTGGTCTCCCCTGAGCTACTGCCCTTCTTCTGGTTAAGCAATTACATATTTAAATGCTCTTAGATGAGAACTGTGTATGCTGCTTAGGGGAAGAATTTGAGACACACTTTAAAAAAGTTGTAGTCCTTTGAGCCAGTTTGGTGTAGTGGTTAAAAGCACGGACTCTAATCTGGGAGAACCGGGTTTGATTCCCCACTCCTCCACATGCAGCTGCCGGTGTGACCTTGGGTCAGTTACAAGTCCTTTCAGAGCTGTTCTCTCACGAGCAGATCTCGAAAGAGCTCTCTCAGCCCCACCTACCTCACAGGGTGCCTGTCGTGGGGAGGGGAAGGGAAAGGAATTGTAAAGCGCTCTGAGACTCTTTCGGGTAGTGAAGGGCGGGGTATAAATCCAATCTCCTCCCCCTCCTTCTCTTTGTGTTTGTACAGAGAAGCTGAGAGTCCTTGGGGTCATTTTGAATGGAGACCTGGGGGGGGGGGTAGGAGTGGCTGAGCAGGACTTTCGGAGGTCAAAGGAGTAGGGAGGGTTTGGTGCTCCTTGACTCCTTTGTCCCTTTCTACCCTGGCTAACAAAAGCCCAAACAACTTGGAAATTAGATACAAATATATTTAGATAACTTATTCAGTTTGAATCTTTGATGGTATAGGTTGGGTTACCGCATGCAAAACATATAGAGCCCTAAGTGGGGGCTGTTTCCTACCTGGCACAGACTGGGGCATTTCCCCTTACCCTAAATCTTAGGTTGGGGGGAGGAGTGACTCAGGCTGAACCTCTTGCTTGACTCCTGCAAAAAATCTGCTTGATTGCAGAGGCATTCCAGCGGGCTCGGAGGCGGATGCAGGAAGCCCGAGAGAGTCTCCCCCAGGACTTGATCAGTACTTCCACTGCCCAGCTGTGAATTCCACGTGCACCAGCTCTTCACAGGGCCTCAAGTCTGGGAGGAGAAGCTCGTGAGATGCTCCTTCTCCTTATCGACAAGATAACAGACCTCTGTGTCTGGAGGGAGCGCTCGTCAACTGGATCCGTGGCGCGCTTCTTCCTCATTGACGATTGTGTGGAGGAGCCTGAGCACAGAGTGCATCCCAGAGAAACCACCAGTCTTTATCCGGGTCTTGACGTGGCAAAAAGCAGCAAGAATTCATTCTTCACAGAACGGGTACAAGTCCTCCTGCCGCCCCCCCCCCCCTCAGAGCGTGGCATCAGCCATCCCTCCTCTTAAACTTTGACTGCACTTCTGCAAAGCCAAAGAATAAAAGGCCAGCAGAGCCCATGGGTAAAGAAGCTACATGCTACAAATGAGCTTCAAAAAGTCTTCTAGAATTCCGTCTGGGCCACAGCAGCTGTTGGGAAGGTGACTTCCAGCTTCCCAGCATCAGCATTTAGCAACCCGAACCTACAGCTGCCATGAAGCCTGTGTGAGACCGTGGACCTTCTCACGTCTGACAAGGGGGGGACTGTCACCAGCCTCTTCCTTGTTCTCCCGTCCCAGAGCACTTTTTTGTTGGACTTCAGACCTGAGTTATTTCTGTTAGGCTTCCTCTCTTTTGGATAGTCACCTTGACATCAAAGCCAACTTCTTACCAAGGGGTGCTGGACATCCCTGGAGTTCTGCCACGTCTGAGCTTCTCTTGGAGGTGGAATCAGGACATTCTGACTTGGACTAGCCTTTAGGCTGATCACTTTGCAAAGGGACTGGGCTTGGTGTTTGGAAAAGAGGGCGTATGTTTTATATTTTGCGAGTTAGGTGTCTTTTATTGTGAAGTGGACGAGTTCATAGCACAGGACGAGGGATACCTTAAAATAACATTTTCTGATTAAACAGATCTGTGGAAGAGTTTGTTCACAGTAAAATAGTTGATTGAAATCGCAAGAAGTCACCACCCCCTGCATTCTCAGAATACACCCCTTCCTGCCCGTAAGCAGAGTCCCTTCAGCCGTACCAAGTAAAATGGAAATGGAAATACAGTGAATGCAGTTATACAAACAGAATTATCTGTCACACTGTACAAATCATACTAGAGATTCCTGTCTTCTTATACAGTTCTACTTGCAACCAAAATTAATACACATAACCACTAGTTTTGCCACCATGCATAAATGACAAGTTGAATAGTGACCTAATTGTCCTTGAAAGTACAAGTCACCAGCTCATGGTACAGAGAAGAGTTTCCAGAAGAAAGTATGCAATAAACGGCATGAGCGCAGGACGAGCTGTAGTGCGAACCAAAGGAGCAGCGACAGCACACCTAGGTTGCTTTGCCGTTTCTTAGGGCTTCATCAGGCTGCTCTTCTTTAGTGATGGAGCTCAACCCAGCTCTGGCAAGATTCAAAATGACACAAAGTCGACAAGTATGTTCCAAGTAGCTAGGAATGGCCTTCTGCTTCCCAGTGATGTCACAGAGCATTCTAAATGCTGCTGTTCCACTGGCCAAGGTCTCCCTGGGCACACTGCTGCTGGCAAACTTCACGTCCTGCCTCTCTGATGCTATCGTCCTTGGGTCCTAATTGAGGTGAGATCTGTGGCCTCACTCAGCCAACAGGATGAGCCCCAGGTGACGTTGTTGATTAACGGGGGACCCTACACCCTCTTTGCAGGATTTCAGGGAGGCCTGATAATTGATCTGTGTGCTTGAATTGTTCTCTAGACTCTGAAGCTAAACTATTTGGCAAAAGTTGGCAGGATTCTTTTTAAACTGGATTTTGCTGTCTTATTAGGAGAACATGAGAAGAGCTCTGATGGATCAAACAGTGGTCCATGTAGTCCACCATCCTGTGTTTAAGCAGTTTCCCTGGAGGAACAACACAGAAACAGCACAGAAGCCAAGGCCTCCCCCTGATCTTGCCTCCCAGCTCTAGGTTTTAGAGATTTACTACCTCTAAATATGGATGTTTCCTTTACTCACCATGGCTAGTAGCTGTTGATAGACTTCTCCTCCACGAATCTGTTCAACCACCCCACTAAAGCCATCTGTGCTTGTGGCCATCACCCCTTCCACTGGTAGTGAATTTCACAACTGAATTACTCATTGAGTAAAAAAGAGCCAGTTTGGTGTAGTGGTTAAGTGTGGTTAAGTGTGTGGACTCTAATCTGGGAGAACTGTATGATACCCCATGCCTCCACTCACCGCTACTGGATGACCTTGGGCAAGCCATAGTTCTGATAAGAGCTGTTCTTGAAAAAGAGCCATTTCTGTCAGAGCTCTCTCAGCCCCACCTACCTCACAGGGTGTCTGTTGTGGGGAGGGGGAGGGGAAGGAGTTTGTAAGCTGCTCTGAGACTCCCGAGTGAAGGGCAGGTTATAAATCCAATCTCTTCCTCTTTGTCCCGAATCTTTTGCCCATCAAATTCATTGGTCACCCCCGCAACTTCTAGTCTTACACATCATTTTATAAACCTTTATAAACGAAGGATAGTTCCCCTCTTCAGCTTAAATCTTTGCCAACGTTGAGTCAGGGGAATGAACTTGATTTAATGTAAGGTTTCCCTAATGGGAATGGTTTGCTCTAACGCAGATGATTTGCCTGAGGTGTGTTAGCTTGAATCCCCCATTGCAAGCACAAACAGGGTGTGCACTGGTTCATGCCGATGGTCAGGGACTACCACCACCGTCAGCTTTGCTCTTAGCTTACCTAAACAAACAAGACTATTCTGGAGAGAAGGTACCGGCCCTTTCCACAGATCCCACAGCCAGTTTGTTGTGAGAGCCAGTTTGGTGTAGTGGTTAAGTGTGCGGACTCTAATCTGGGAGAACCGGGTTTGATTCCCCACTCCTCCACTTGCACCTGCCGGATGACCTTGGGCAAGCCGTAGTTCTGATAAGAGGTGTTCTTGAAACGAGCAGTTTCTGTCAAGAGCTCTCTCAGCCCCACCTACCTCGCAGGGTGTCTGTTGTGGGGAGGGGAAGGGAAAGGAGTTTGTAAGCCGCTCTGAGACTCCCTTGGGTAGTGAAGGGCGGGGTATAAATCTAATTTCTTCTTCTTCATCATCATCCCTCTGACTGGCAGGCTGCAGTGCCTATCAAGGGTTGCTGGCTGCTCCCATCCTGGCGTATCTCTAGCGAGATGTACAGCACGGTTAGTGGCGTTGCCACAGACTCTCTGCACATCCCTGGAGACACTTTTTGGGCGTCTGACCTTTCTCGAGCAGCGAGTGACTGTATGTGTGAGAGAGGTGATAAGAGCAAGCATCTGGATTCTTCCTAAAAAAAAAACACCTGCCTACTTTGCTAGTGGAAAAGTCCGGAAGTGAGTTTTTCTTGGAAAGGGGGGGGGGGGTTGTTCATCGGAAGTACATTTTTTAAAAAAAATCCCCTTACAGTTTTTAAGTATGGATCGGGTACCTACTTGTCAGGGATATTATAACGGTAGTTCCTGCACTGGCAGGGGGCTGGACTGGCTGAGCTGGCAGTCCCTCCCAACTCCAAGATTAATTTAGAAATTAAATCTGCAACGTGGTGGTGGGGGATGCTGGGGAGGGTGAACGCCAGGTGTAAATTTCCCCTCCAGGGCCACCGTCGACAGTCTCGCAGCTGGACAGAAGGCACGCAACAGAAGCAACATGAGAGCATGGCTGACGAAGAAACACCATCCAGCGGAAGTAAGGCTGGGAAACCATCAGGGAGGGTGTACGGCTTAACACACACACACACACCCCTTCCCAGGATGAGATACCTAAAGTCCCCTCTGAGCCGTGTGTGTCCAATGCTGCCCGTTTCAGCAGATGTTGCTCAGAGACTTTCAAGCCTCTCCCTGCAGCCCATGAGGACTAGAAGCTTGAGGGAGTTCCACCTGACAACTCTGAAGCGCATGGGCTTGAGAGCTTCCCCGTGGGACTGTGGTCCTGCCTTATTCTTGTCACCTTAATGGGCTGCTGCTTCCCTCTTCCATCCAGGCCTCCTCTGCTCCATCAACCACCTCCTGCGGCTACCGGAGCGCGCAGACCAGAAGGAGGTGGTCCTTCGTATCTTGCAAGCGGCTCGCGTCCAGCCGGCGGCTGTGATGCCGGTCCTCATGGTGACGCTCCGGCATGATGAAGTAAAGAACCTTGCTTCTCTCCTCGCACCTGCCCTGCTAGCCCTCACCCAACTCCCCCCCCCCACTTCAGGCTGCCAGCAGGTGCTAGCACGGACTGAAGTTGGGACCTTTCTATGGCAAAGGTGATGCTCTACCACTCCATGGACCCTCCTTAGAAGTTGGCAGGCACAGCACCTATTCGTTGTGGCCCCATGCATGAGGCTGGCTGGAAACTAGGGGTCCTGCTCAAGAGGTCTGCCCTTCTCCGCAGGTGTCGGCCTGGCAGAAGGTGACCGTGTACCACAGCCTCCGGGCCATGCTGGAGCACGGCCTGGAGGTGGAGCCCTTGCAGGATTTCATCCTCGTGGCCTCCAAGCAGCTGCGAGCATCTCCAGAGGTGAGGTGGCAGCAGCCAGAAGCATTTCCTGCTTGCTGTTGTTTTGTTTTTCTAAAGCGTGACCTGCCTTGCAAGTCCAGGGACGCCTTAAAGACTAAGCTTTATTCCGGGGTGAACTTTCACAAGTCAGAGCTCACTAAGCCCACACTAGGATAATTGTGGCTAGTCTTTAAGGTGCCCCTAACCTGGATAGCCCAGGCTGGCACAATCTCGTCAGATCTGGGGAGCTAGACAAGGTCAGCCCCGGCTAGTATTTGGACGGGAGACTGCCAAGGAATACCAGGGTTGTGACACGGAGGTAGGCAACAGCAAGCCCCCTCTGAACATCTCTGGCCTTGAAAACTCGACAAGGTTGTCATAAATCAGCTGCGACTCGATGGCCTTTTCCATCGGTCTTTCAGGTGCCACTGGATTTTTGTTTTATTTTGCTGCAGTAGATTGCCACATCTGCCTCTCTGGAATAGCCAGACTTAAGCCTGCCTGATGGCCTTTCATGTTGGAAGCCCCGTTCCTCCCCGCAGCCATGTCGGGATGAGCTGCGATAGCTGATAATAGGCAATCTGTGCATGCTCAGAAGGAGCTTGGTCCAGGGAATCCCATGAAAGCTTTTGCTGCCATATTTTATTTACCGGATCCATTTGTTTTTAAGGTCACACAGGGCTTGTCGCCTCTGCTGTGAGAGGCTCACACTGCTGCCCTTTTGGAATCTGTCGGCAGAACTTCTGTGGTTCACGAATTCAAGGACACAATTTGGGCATCAAAAGCCAGTTCTGGTGTTCAGACTAGGGTGAAAAAAATGAAAGTCCTGGCCAGTGTTCCCTCTAAGCTGAGTTAGTGTGAGCTAGCTCACAGTTTTTTAGCCTCCGGCTCACACATTTTTGTCTTAGCCTAGGAAGGAGGGCTCAGGAGCAAACTAATTTATGCAGTAGCCAAATTGCTTGCTCACAAAGTAGAATTTTTGCTCACAAGACTCCACAGCTTAGAGGGAACATTAGTCCTGACCTCTTGCTCAGTCACAAGATTATAAGTGTTTCTGATGTCAGGACTGCAGGTTGCTTGGAGCAAAACCATGGCCTTGGTGCCCTCACTCTGCACTCCAAGTACTTTCAGCAGAACATAATCTAAGTACAGAGAACATAATACATTCATTACGTAGTTTAGTGTATATTATTTACTGACAATATTGGTTAATGAGGAATGCTGCTTGTCTCTAGAAGTTAATGCCGTGAAGCTCAGAGAGGCACATATTATGCATTAACCTTAAGCAATATGAACCAATAAGTTGGGGGCCCTTGAGCTTTGGCACCCCTGGGGCGATTGGCCAGCATTCCCCCATCTTCCTGCACCCTTGTGTGATGTTTCTCATGTACACGCTCATAATCACATGATACAAATTATCTAAACCAAAAAGAGTATAAATCAATACAAACAAAGGAGAGCAGACTGGCCTAAAACAGGATAATCAGGGCAAAATAAATTAACACAGTTTCCCAAAGCTGGTCTGAAAATCACTGTGCATACACCGTCATGGTGCCATTACTGTAAAGGCCCTTCACTTCTACACACGCCTCAAATATAAAGCTTTCTGCAGTTATGAGCCCTGGAGGATCTTTCTGCTTTTGGACCCTAGAAGGAGGGACATGGGGAGGCTCAGGTCCAGTCTCAATGGAGACACCTGGTCTGTGGTTCTCAGACACAGACTTTTGTCCTGGGCAGACCAACGGGGGTGTGGAAGCCCACGTCTAGCAGGAGGGATTCTCTTTTCCTAACGCACACCCAGAAGAATGCACTGAATCTTGAAGGTGCCTGGAAGTCTCGCTGTCTTCCTTGCAAGCCTTTTCCTGCCATCCAAAATGTCTGAGAACTGGTTGAAGTTGCCCATTAGGAAAGGTTCAACAGTGTCAGCAGTTCACCGGGTCCAGTACTGAGCACAAGCTTCTGCAGACAAGTTCTGGAAAGGTTTGCCGACCTTGGAGATCTCCCGTGTTAGATCGCGCTAACAAAGGACTCGTACAGTGATTCAGCAAGTGATTCAGCTTTATTGGAAGTAACGAGCAAGCACTAACTCAGTAAGAAACCAGAACAGAAAACAGTGGGAGCTTATGCTCCTTTTAAACATAACCGGGCTAATGTAGCCACGCCTATTTACAAATAACAACCAATGAGATTGCTAGAATAAAGACCAATGGGAGTCTTTCCCTCCTAGGGAATGGTATCGTTCTGATTGGTCGCTGTTACGAAGCGACCAATAGGAAGTTCGCTCAGAGGAGCCCTGGTCTGGCTCGAAGCTTAACATGGGAGTCCTATGAGGTGATTCATGTAATCATTTCAATACATTACAATTCCTCCCCCCTAAGTTAAGCCATCATCCCAATTGTTTTATTATTTACAAACATGCAATCAACCTTTGTACATCAGTTATTCCAACAGTATTTACACTCATAGTCCTTCAGATAAGTCGGCATTTGCCGCGAACGCTGGGACCTGCGGAGCGGTGCAGGCTCCACGGGCAGACAAGGTTGTGGGTCAGAGTGGGGTTCACTACAGCCTGGATCAGGCACAGACTCGACTGGGATTTCAGCCCCGCACACAGGGTTCTGCCCTGACTCGGGGACAGTACCGGGCCTTTCGGTACTCACCGCCTGCTCTGGGGGTGTCCACTCGACATCAGGGGATTCAGCCGTCGGAGAGTCAGCGCTGTCCCTAGCCCAACGTCTCCTTAACTGATCTATGTGGCGCCGCCATATTCGACCGTCAGCTAACTGCACCACATACATTCGAGTACCCACAGAGTCGGATATAACCCCAGGAAGCCATAAGTGCCCGTTTGCATAATTTCGTGCGAAAACCTTGTCCCCTTTTTCAAACATGCGCACCTTCGGTTGCGCCGTGGTACGCTCGGATTGCTCTTCAGTGAGGTCTGGGTGCATTCGGTTCAAACGGGTCGTGAGTCTCCGCCCCATTAACAATTCGGCCGGACTACGGCCTGTAGCACTACAGGGGGTGGTGTGCTGCAGCAAAAGAAAGGAGCCCAGCCTCTGGCTCCAGTCCCCTTCGTCCATTTTACCCAGGGCCTCTTTGGCCGTCCTGACCATCCGTTCGGCTTGGCCATTAGATGCCGGATGGAAAGGGGCCGAAGTCATTTGGCGTATGCCATTACTCGTGAGGAAGAGCCTAAATTCCTCAGACACAAATTGAGGCCCGTTGTCACTGACGATGACGTCAGGCAACCCGTGGGTGGCAAAAAGTCGGCGGAGCGCATGGATCACAGCAAGTGATGTGGTCGATTTCATATGCACGACCTCCAGCCATTTGGACATAGCGTCCACCACAATTAGGAACATTTGCCCTTGGAGAGGGCCAGCAAAATCTATATGCAATCTGGCCCAGGGTTTACCAGATGACTCCCAGCCTTGGGGTGTAGCTTGTGGGGGATCGGGTCTGACTTGCTGGCATTTGGGACACCCTCGTACCCATTCTTCGATCTCTTTGTCCAGCCCCGGCCACCAGACATACCCTCTGGCCAACGCTTTGGTGTGTACCATACCGGGGTGACCCTCGTGCAGCGACTCTAACACTCTCGTCCTGAGTTTGTCAGGAACCACCACCCTGTTCCCCCATAATACACAGCCCTTAGAAATGGATAGTTCATTTTGACGGCTTTTGTAAGGGCCGAACTCCGGTTCAACGCTTCCAACCGGCCACCCCCTCCAAACCCAGTTTAATACTCGGGACAGCACGCTATCCTTGGCCGTGTGTGCTGCAATGTCCCTGGATGATACCGGGGGTCGAGGAAGCTCCTCAATTGCCAAGACCTCACAGGCGGGGGCAGGGTCTGCGCCAATGTCCGGCACCGGGCACCGGCTGAGGGCATCCGCATGCCCAATCGCTTTCCCAGGCCGGTGCTCTAAGTCAAAATCATAAGCCTGCAAAAATATCGCCCATCTAAGCATGCGTGGGGACATGATGTTTGGCAATTGCTTATCGGGCGCAAAAATCCCCAGTAGCGGCTTGTGGTCAGTGACCAGCAAAAATCGTCTGCCAAAAATAAAATCATGGAACTTTTTGACAGCCGCTACCAACGCCAGACCCTCCTTGTCTATCTGGGCATAGTTCCGCTCTGCCGCAGATAGTGATCTAGAATAAAAAGCGATAGGCGCTTCGCTCCCATCAGGCATCAGATGGCTTAAAACTGCGCCTACTCCAAACGGTGAAGCGTCAGCAGCTAACACCAGGAGCTTGTGTTCATCATAATGCGTGAGTACGGCATTAGATGTCAGCAGCTCCTTGACTCCCACAAAAGCCTTTTCCTCGGCCTGCCCCCACTTCCATTTTGCCTCCTTGTGCAAAAGCGCGTGCAAAGGGGCCGCCACTGATGCCTTATGCGGTAAAAACGCATGATAAAAATTCAGGAGTCCTAAAAAGGATTGGAGCTCCTTCTTACTCACCGGCCTGGGGGCGTTTTGGATTGCAGATACCTTCTCATCCGTGGGGTGGACTCCCTCTGCGTCAATGCGAAACCCCAGGAAGTCCACACTTTCCACCCCGAGCGTGCATTTTGAGCGCTTAACTCTGAGGCCGGCATTTTGAAAACGCCTGAGGACCTCTTTAACCCGGTCCAGTAGTTCCTGTTCAGACCCGCCCGCAATCAGCACGTCGTCAAAATAGGGCACTGTGCCAGGTACCCCCCTTAGTAGACGTTCCATGAGGCCCTGAAAAATCCCAGGTGCTACGTTGACCCCGAATTGCAGCCTGTTCACTTTAAAAGCCCCTTGGTGGGTTACAATTGTTTGGGCCTCGGCAGCCTCCGGGGTGACAGGCAACTGCTGGTATGCCTGGGCCAGGTCAAATTTGGCGAAAATCTTGCCACCCCCCAGGGAAGCCAAAATGTGGCTTATTACCGGGACCGGGTACGAATGTTGCTGCAGCGCCTTGTTAATCGTACATTTGTAATCGGCGCATAGTCGTATGGACCCATCTGATTTGACAGGGGTTACGATCGGGGTCTCCCATTTGCTGTATGGTACTGGCTCTAAAACCCCTTGCTCAACTAGTTTGTCAATCTCTTTTTCCACCTTATGTTTGAGAGACACAGGTACTTTCCGATACTTCAACCTAATAGGTTTGACTGACGGATCTAAGTCAAACGCAACCGGGGGGCCCTTGTACCTTCCCAACCCTTCGGCAAATACATCAGGGAACAGGTCGTACAGCATGCCCCATTTATTTTCAGACATCCTGTTAATCCCAGAAATACCGATGCCCAATGGCTCAAACCAATCTAACCCTAGCAGGTTAACCCGGTCTCCCTCTGCAATCAGGAATGACAGTTTAACACATTTCCCCTTATACTCAACAGTAACAGAGTCCCGTCCGGCCAAGGGAATTCGGTTGCCCTGGAAGTCGGACACTCTGGTTCCCGCAGGCTGGAGCCGCCGCCGGCTTCGGTTCGGGAACAACTGGCGCCAGGACGCGGCAGAAATCACCGTCACGGACGATCCTGAGTCCACCTCCATTGTACAGGGTCGGCCGTCGAGGAGTGGAGTCACGGTGATCTTGCCCTGGCTGCTGGTGCGATTTACGGCCGATGCGCTCGACAAGGTCGCCGTCAACTGGCAGCTTGCTTCCGATGCTGAGGAACGGGTCTTGCCTTGGGTGCTGACTGGAGTGCCCCTCTGCGCTGACCGGTTGTTAGTTGAGGGATCCTTCTTCGCTGATCTGCAGACTCTGGCCAGATGACCACGCCGCCCACACGCTCTGCAGTCGACATCACGAGCCCAACAGGAGCCGCGCTGGTGCTTCCCGCCACAACCGGAGCAAGGCTTGACGTTGGTAGTCTTCGCTGGGGTCCGCTTGCCTCGAACCGCGTTGACGTCATCATCCGCGTCTTCGCCCTCGCTGTCTCGTTGAGCGTGTATACTGGGCTCTGCCACCCGCTGGCGGACCTCCTTCGTGGACTTCTCCGCTGCTTCCGCGGCCACGGCCTCTTCGTAGGCCACTGCCCAGGTCAGGGTGGTGCGGGCGAACAGCCTCTGTTGCAGCCTTTCATCTTTGAGACCGCAGACGAGACGGTCTCTGAGGGCTTCCTCCACGTTGTGGAAATTACATGGCCGTGCGGCTTTGCGAAGGGCCGCCACGAAATCTGCGATGGTCTCGCCTCCGGCCTGGTTCCGCTTGTAAAAAGCGTGCCGGCAGGCGATCTCCGACGGTTGTGGAGAATAGTGAGCCTTAAGCTTCTCCGTGATGTCAGCGTAGGTGACAGTCTTTATATCAGTTGGGGCCACCAACGACCTGGCTATGTCGAAGGTCCCCTTCCCGCAGGAACTCAGGAGGCATGCTCGTTTCTTCGCCTCATCGGTGATGTCGTGGGTCTCCAGATGGAACTCGAACCTGGACAGGTAGGAGTCCCAGTCTTCTGAGGAGGGTTCGAAGCACTCGAACTTCTGGCTTCCAGCCATCGGGGGAGACTTGGGCACCGGAGCTGGTGGCGCCTCCGCCGGATCGGCTGCTGTGCTCTGCCCGCTTTCTTCCGAGTCCGAAGTGTGGATGTCCGCAGGGCTGCCTACCTGCTCTAACATCCCATCCTCGTCGCCAATTGTTAGATCGCGCTAACAAAGGACTCGTACAGTGATTCAGCAAGTGATTCAGCTTTATTGGAAGTAACGAGCAAGCACTAACTCAGTAAGAAACCAGAACAGAAAACAGTGGGAGCTTATGCTCCTTTTAAACATAACCGGGCTAATGTAGCCACGCCTATTTACAAATAACAACCAATGAGATTGCTAGAATAAAGACCAATGGGAGTCTTTCCCTCCTAGGGAATGGTATCGTTCTGATTGGTCGCTGTTACGAAGCGACCAATAGGAAGTTCGCTCAGAGGAGCCCTGGTCTGGCTCGAAGCTTAACATGGGAGTCCTATGAGGTGATTCATGTAATCATTTCAATACATTACATCCCGCTATTACAATTGATCTCCAGACAACCGAGATCAGTTCCCTGGGAGAAAATGCCTGCTTTGGAGCATGGGCTCAGTGATATTATACCCTGCTGAGATCCCTCCTCTCCCCCAAACCCCGCCCTCCTCAGGCTCCACCTCCAAACTCTCCAGGTAATTCCCAACACAGAGCTGGCAACACTAGTTCTGGGGCTGTCACCCCCTGCCACCACATTGCCCCTGTAATATACCCAGTTCAGACCACGTGGCCAGCTTGGGATCCACACGGTCAAGCGCAAACGTCGAGCTTCGCTCAAAAAGACAATGGACTATGCGGGTCCTAGCCGCACCAATCAGGGGGCTAGGTTCCCGGCCGAGAGCCTATGGAACTCTCGGCCACTGTAAATAACCTATTGGGAAGTAGGGGGGTGTTATGGGTGGCGGTTTCACAGGGAATATAAGCTGGCCTGCGAGCCGGCTAAAGTTGTCTTCTTCCTGATCTAATAAAGACGCTGAACTGCAGGCTGTGGAAGGTCAGTAGTTCAGCAGTTCGAGACCCTGGTGCCGCATGATGGCGTGAGCTCCCATCTCTAGTTCCAGCTCCTGCCAACCTAGCAGTTCGAAAGCAAGAAATTGCAAGTAGATAAACAGGGACCACTTTGGTGGAAGGTAACAGCGTTCCGTGCACCTTGGTGCTTAGTCACGCCGGCCACATGACCACGGAAACGTCTTCGGACAGCGCTGGCTCTTCGGCTTTGAAACGGAGATGAGCGCCGCAACCCTAGAGTCGGACTCGACTGGCTTTCGAGCAAGGGAAACCTTTACCTCTAAGCTGAAATCACTCTGCGTCTGCGTACTTTTCAGCCCCCATCTCTTTCCCCCCTACTTCCCGGCACCCCGCGCCCTGTTGCTCGTAGTGACCCCTGCCTTCTTTTGCAGCAAGGGGTCCCCCGTGAGCTCCAGGTGGCCGCCAGCAGCACCTTGGCCACCTTTGCCCGCCGTCACTTCAACCCCATCATGACGGAGCTTCAGAAGCAGCTCAAGCCCTTCGTGCAGCCTGACGAGTTCCTCCTCCTCACCCTGGGCAAGATGGCAGCCAGCAACGGTAGAGCAGCAGGGGGAGGGGGAGGGAATGGCAGGATGCCCCTGTTTCTGTGCCCCTCCCCAACTCACCTAGCAAAGCTGTCTCCAGACACGTGGGCCTTCCTTGTTCTCCTCGCGATCTGCCTGTTGGCTTGTAGAAGAGCAGTCCTGAACACAAAGGGCCAAAATACAAAGGCTCTGACCCGGATGGCCCAGGCCAGCCCGATCTCATCAGATCCTGGAAGCTAAGCCATTGTTTTGTTTTTTTTAAGGCGTGACCTGCCTTACAAGTCCAGGGGTACCTTAAAGACTAAGCTTTATCCCGATATGAACTTTCACGAGTCAGAGCTCACTTAAGCCCGCACTGGGATAATTGTGGCTAGTCTTTAAGGTGCCTCTAACCTTAACTTGAGCTGCGGTGGCTCAAGTGGTTAAGACGCTGAACGTCAGGCTGTGGAAGGTCGGTAGTTCAGCAGTTCGAGACCCGAGTGTGCCGCATGGTGGAGTGAGCTCCCATCTCTAGTTCCAGCTCCTGCCAACCTAGCAGTTCGAAAGCAAGAAATTGCAAGTAGATAAATAGGTACCACTTCGGTGGGAAGGTAACAGCGTGAGCTCCACGGCCTTGGTGTTTAGTCATGCCGGCCACATGACCACGGAAACGTCTTTGGACAGCGCTGGCTCTTCGGCTTGGAAACGGAGATGAGCACCGCAACCCTAGAGTCGGATTCGACTGGCTTTCGAGCAAGGGAACCTTTACCTTTACTAACCTGGATAGCCCAGGCTGGCACAATCTCGTCAGATCTGGGGAGCTATAGCAGGGTCAGCTCTGGTTAGTATTTGGATGGGAGACCTCCAAGGAAGTCCCAGAGTTGCTACACAGAGGCAGGCAAGGGACGTCTCTTGCCTTGGAAACCCCACCAGGGTTGCTGTAAATCAGCTGCCACTTGACGGCACTTTCCACCACCAGAATACAAAGGGCTGCCACAATGTCTGAGAACGGAAGTGGCTTCTTTCACCTGAATTAAGATTTTTTTGGGGGGGGTGCACTCTATTTGCTTTTGTATAAAGCTTGCAGAGGACACAAGGCTTGGTGGGGCCAGGAGAAAGTGTCCCGTTCCTGATACATAACTGGCCACTCTCTTTCTGCATCAGTTGCCTGCCCGGCTGTCTTTTTTCCAGTGTATGGCTGTGTCCCCTTCCTGGGCATCACCCTTACGACCCTGCAAACCACCATGCGCGGGATGGAAGATGGCAGGCGGCGCAGGGCCCTCTGCATGGGTGAGTTTTGCCATGCTCAAGCCTTGAATGGAGCAGGTCCCCAAGCCATTGCCTAACTGCTTGGCAAGTTTTGTTGGGTGGAGGAGACATGCCGAATGCTCCTCTTGTGGTGCCTAGGAGAGGTCTGTGTATCGGAGCGTAGGCTGGAAGTACACAGCACCCCACCACTGCGCGTGGTGCCTGGAAGCCCCTTGCTTCTGACTTCTGGAGACAAAAAGCACACACACACCCCAAGGTTATATTGGTCGAATCTGCACTTGCATTTTTAAATCAGTTTTGTGCTGCTGCGAAGCTGATTTCTCTATGCTTGTTTGAACGTTGTTTGCAGAAGATTCATTTAAAGCAGTGCGGCGGCACAATGACAGTGGAGCTGCCACGAGAGGGCGATAAACATATGCAGACATGCAAAATTATGCTAGCACTGTTAAGGTGTGAAAATGAAACCAAATGTAGACAGCTCTTTTGAAGACAGAGTCAGAAGGCTGGGACTCTGCGGATCATTATGTCTTCATTTGCAGTCTTTCAAGGACATTTTCTTTGCTGAGGGTTGTAGCATGGGATGGATGGACGGGTGGTCTGTTTCTGAACATGAACACAGGAAGCTGATGCACTACAGTTCTGGCTAACAAACCAGCTGTAATCAGTCTGTCAGACTGGCTGTGCTAACCGAGGTTTGAGCAACATGTCTCATGCCTGATCCTCAGTTAGTATGGACAGTCCAATGGACTGGCTGTAGCTGGTTTGTTAGCCGGAATTGTGTTTATCTACCATGACTCCCAATTAAAGGATCGCCAGTAGAAAGCATCGGGAAGGGCCTTTCTCATCCTTTAACTGGGAGAGGCCAGACATTGAACCAGGGACTTTATGCATGCAGAGCAGTTGGCGCACCACTGAGCAGATTCTTGAGTCTCTTAAAACTCAGAAAGCTGGCATTAACAACCAGTAAGCACTCGTCAGAAGAGAAAATCAGGAGATTCAATTTCAAAGCAATACATAGAAAGGTTAACTGTGGGACTGTCTCTCCTCCTGTTCAAGGGAACTGCCAGAGACAAAAACAGAGTTGTCCGAACTAGGGCTTTTTTGGTAGAAAAAGCCCAGCAGGAACTCATTAGCATAATAGGCCACACCCAACAGCAGAAACTCATTAGCATATTAGGCCACACCCTGACAGTGCAGTCCATTAGCATATTAGGCCATACCCCCATGCATTCCCTTGGCTTGCCTGGGCAAGCCGGCCCTTGGACCGGCCCTTGGACCAGGGCCCCCTCCCGGCCCACCCACCCACTTCGGAGTCACGGGGGGGGGGTCGCTCTTCAGGCCTTCCCTCTGTAGCCAGGCACACAAAGGTTTTGGCTGTAGTGGACGTGGCCAACTCTGAAGCCAGCGGGAACTCCATTCCTGTGCAAAAATAGCCCTGGTCCCAACCAATGGTCTCCCTAAGCTGTGGAGTCCTGTGAGCAAAAATTCAACTTTGTGAGCTACTGGCATTAAAGCTGTGAGCGAGCAATTTGGTCTGCTCACAACTTAGTTTGCTCTGGAGCCGTCCTTCCTGAGCTAAGACAAAAATGTGTGAGCCGGAGGCTTAAAAACTATGAGCTAGCTCACACTAACTCAGCTTAGAGGGAGCACTGGTCCCAACCATCATCTCTCCAGCAGAAGCAGAATCCCGGCCTGGTTCTAATGAGGTCTGCCCTCTGTCTCTTCCCTCCCCCAAGCCCTGGGGCAGATATGTGGGGCGATTCGGATCTACCTGCGAAGCTGGGAGAGGAGCTCACACCCTCGCCTCAGTGTCCAGCAGTTTGCCACCTACCTTCTCCCACTCTATGCCTGCATCACCCGCACCTGGCTGCCAGGGAGCGACGCCCAGGTAAGATGCCAACCAGCTAGGACTGGTACTTTCTGCAGGGGGTGCGTGGAGAGGCCATGCTGTCTGCCCAGAGCTCATGCTGGTGATTGCTGAAAGGAGAGAGTGGAAGAAACACTTTTTAAGTTGGCAGGGTCTTGGGCTATAAAGTAATCCCTTCTCCCCTCCCCTCCGTCCCCCCCTTTTTGCCCTTCCTGGCAGGTCAAGCTGGCCATTCTGAAGGTGCTGGGCCCCATGCTGAGCATCCTGCTGACCCAGAAGGAGTTCCAGGCTCAGGTTCACGGTGACATCCCTCTGCTCGTGGCGCAGTATGAGAGCAGCATCGAGGCCGTGCATGTCACAAAGGTGAGCAGACGGGGGAGTGGCTGTGTGGCCCGCTGCACAGATCCTGCAAAAGTGTCCGGGGCAGTGCCTCTCCTCCTCCCCGCTCAGTTACTCGTCTTACTTACATTTTATTTAGTTGAAAAGATTTGTCTCCTTTTGTCCAACAAATATTCATCGCTGTCAAATTGTGGAGAAACAGTATACATTTACAGACGAGCAGGGGTCATTTCGCAGAAAAAGAGGTGCAGGAGTTCATTAGCACGACTCATTAGCATAGCTTATTTGCATATGCCACCCCCCCTGACATCACCGGAAGTGTGTCAGAAGGCAACACCCACTGCTCAGGCTCCACTGGACTGTATTGGATTGCTAGCTATTTTTTTTGGGGGGGGGCGTGCAGATCTGTCCTCGCAGAGGAGGGAGAGCTTGTACCTGAATAAACCTCGGTCTTAAAGGTGCCACTGGACTGTTTTGGATCGCTAGCTATTGGGGGGGGGAGACTTGCAGATCTGTCCTCGCAGAGGAGGGAGAGCTTGTACCTGAATAAACCTTGGTCTTAAAGGTGCCACTGGACTGTTTCGGACCACAGTTGGCACCCAGGGACATATGGAAGGAGATGGTCCTTCAGTTGAGGAGCCATTGAGGCCTTATTTACCGAGGGCTCATTCCTTCACGCTATAGCCAGTTTGTTCATCTTTTAGGTTCTCATGCCTTTGGTCTTTGCAGTCTTCCTGCCAACCCCCACACGGCCATCTCCCTGCTCCAACCCCCTCCCCGATTGCCTCTCTAGTCATCTCAGACATTGCCCATAAGAAAAAAATAATAATTCTCTGTTGCTTGCTGCAGATTCTGAGCCAGATTTTGGAGGCTTCTCTTGTGAATAATAATCAGATTCCCAGGAGGCATGTGGAGCCCCTGGCTCGTGTTCTAACACACCAGGTAAGCCTGGACATAAGAATATAAAAGGTGCTGTGCTGGATCAGGCCCGTGTTCCATCTAGTCCAGCATCCCGTCTCATACAGCAGCCAGCCAGTTGCCCTGGAGAGCCACCAGACAGGGCATAAAGGCCAGTACCCCTAATGCTACCAGCCATGTTGGTGCCCCTAGGGGTGCCAGGTCTGGGTTGGAAAATACCTGGAGACTCTGGGGGTGGATCCGGGAGAGGGCGGGGCTTGGGGAGGGGAGGGGCCTCAGCAGGGTCCAATGCCATGGAGTCCACCCTTCAAAGCAGCCATTTTCTCCAGGGGACCTGATCTCTGTCAGCTGGAGAGCAGTGGTAAAAGTGGGAGATCTCCAGGCCCCATCTGGAGGCTGGCAACCCCATGCCGCTGCCTCACTGAGGCCCAACCCAGCATCCCAATTTGCATTCCAAGGCACGAAATCTCCCGCCAAGACTTATAATCCTTCAGTCTTCCCCCCACTCCCTTTGGGGACACATTTCATGACTCTGTACTTGAAGGAATGCTGCAGCCGGATCCTCCCTCCCAGACCTCTGGGTGCAAAAGGGCCCATTTTTGGCATCCCTCCTTCTTTGCTTAGATCTGTGCCAGAGGACAGATGCAGTACCCTGGGACTCAACGTGGAAGAGAGAACCAAGCTGAAATCACTCATATCTTCTTGCGACTGGGTATGAAGAGAATGAGAGCCTAGCTGGGCCTGGACTTTCTTGCAGTTTGAGCAGGGGTCATTTCGTAGAAAAAGAGCTAGGGGAACTCATTAGCATAACTCATTAGCATATGCCACACCCCCTGACATCAGGGGCCCGGCGGTGGACCTGCAAGGCCAGCGGGAGTGCGAGGAAGCCCCGCCAAGGCCCTCCCTGGCCCCAGGCAGGCAGGGGTGGGGAGAGGCGGGGAGGAAGCAACTTACCCTCCCTCTTCTCCTGCCTCCTCCTGGCTGAATGAGGGCTGGAAGCGGGGTGGCCGGAAGCGGGGTGGCCGGAAGCAAGGGGCCTCGGTCATCTCCCCCCCCCCCTGTACCTCACCCGGGGGGACTGTGTCCCCCCGCGTCCCCCCCCCGAAATGACCTCTGAGTTTGAGAAGGGATCAGGAGATGGCACGTGGGGGCAGACTGAGATGCTGAGGACCTAAGCTATGTCAAGTTTAAGAGGCCCCATAGCATTACCAAAAAAACCCACCCCTGTGTTTATCTTATCATAGAAATTTAGCAATTTTTAAAAAATATTTCGAGGCTTTCTTAATATCTGAGGCCCTAAACTGTAGTTTGTGCATAAATCCAGCTCTGGTTGTACACCTATTCATTGAAGATTCGGTGCCTTTCCCTTCCCACAGCCTGTTCCCACCCCTCTGAGCTGCTGGGATTTCTCCAGGTGAAGCTGAAAGAAAGCCAAGAGGAAGCGCGTGTAGTGTTGCTGGTATTGCTCTCCAAAATCGTCGGTGCCCAGTGTAAGGACCCAGGATAATCACACTGAACTGCCTTCCAGGGCTGTTGTTGGGAATTGCTCAGATAATATGTGGCAAGTTGCCTAAATGCGTGAAATGCATTTTGTAGAGATTAAAGTATTTTTCACATTTGTTTGTTTTGTACTGTGCTTCAGTGGTGCCAGGAAGGTCCTCATTCCTCTCTGGGTTTTGATCCTGGCCTGGAACCTTTTACCTAAAAAGCACAGGTCCCTTCCAAGTGATAGGTGATCCTGCGGCAGCCCAGATGTTCTCCAGCAGGCTGTGCCTTGTGTCTTTCAGTGCCTGAGCTCTGGAGCAGGAGGCAGCTGTGCGTCAAGGCCATCAAGGTGGTGCTGGGTGATGACAGCATCAGGGTAAGAACCAAGAGAGGCTGGGGGCGAGGCTGGGGAAGAGGGGGCCGAGTCTTGGATGCTGGCAACAGTGGTCTGCTTTGGAAGCCAGCTCTGAAGGGTGGAGGAGGCACTCGCAAAACAGATAACCGGAGTAAAAACTTTACACATCTTGGCGGCAGCTGACATTAGTTTCCTTGGTGCAATTGATTGATTGATTGATTCCGTTTATACCCTGCCTTCCCTGCCAAGGCGGGCTCAGGGTGGCTTACAAACATATCATAAAAATACAGTTAAAACCTTCCAAAAACAGATAAACACATAACAACCATTTAAAATACACCTAAAATGCTGGAACATGATAAGTCAACAAGAGCAAGGTTATTTATAATATGGCTTAGGTGACCGTATGATTGCAATACTTTCACACCAGGTCAGTACGCTCACTTATTGTGTGGCAGGCACAGGCTGGAGACAATGATGGTAAAGCCAGGGCACAGGCTGAAGATAAGACATGGTAAAGCCAGGGCACAGGGACACTCCTCTGTGTATGATGCAGCTCCTTAGTCAAACGCCTGGTGAAAGAGCTCAGTCTTGCAGGCCCCGAGAAACTGTAAAAGGTCCCACAGGGCCCTGATCACTTCCAGGAGCTCATTCCACCACAGCTCAGTTCCCTAGGTTGGTATGAGCAATAGAAAAGAGACACAAGACTGAAGACCCGCAAGCTCAGAGGCTGTAGTTGTATTCTAGGCCAGTTTCTAATATGCAGTTCCCATTTCCTTAATCAGTTCAAAGATGCAGTCTGAATTAGGGACTCAAACATCCCAAATCAAATGGTTTTCTCCTACCGGCTGCCACTTGCTCACTCTAGAAGCCCCAGGCACAACACAGCTTTTGGAGCACCCAAAAGCGATCAGTGGAAAGCTCTCCCCTGACCTTGGAGGCACCTCCCCCCCCTGCTCCTTAGCTACCCAAAGTCTGCGCAAACCAGAGCAGCTGTGCTACTATGCACGCTCATGGCCCTGGCTTAACCTTGCAAACTCACCTGGTCACCTGGGTTGATGAAGAATCTTGTCCAGGCAGTCAGCTTGAAGGAGCTTCCATATATCAAAGAAAAGATGTGGATAGACCATGCGTGGTCCCCCAAATGAATAGTGCCAAGAAATATGGATGGGCAAGCCAAAGAAGTCAGCTTAGGAACGATGGGTGGACTCTTTTCCAAGTCCGGAAGAAATACTTTAAGAAGCATCTGTAGCTGTTCTGCTCGGCAGCAAAGAGAAGGGATGGTCCACAGTCACCCAGTGAGCTTTGTGGCAGAATGGGGATGTGAACTCTGGTCTCCCAGGCCCCAGCCTGACACTAACCACAGCCCCACACTGGCTTTGCTTTTTGACCCCCTGTTCCTCTTAGGTCCGTTTTGCAGTGCTCCAGGTCATCAGTAAGCTGCTGCAGGCTGGCTACCTAGAGAAAGTGGAGGGCTGGCCATTGAACTATATCTCCCTGCAGCTGGCCATCTCTGCTCACCAACTGGTAAGGGCAGGCCCAGGCCTTGGCATCAGAGCCCTTGGGATTTGGGGCTGTGGTGGGGGGGAAACCACGCTATTTGAACATGCAATCCCATTCGATTGCTCCAACCATCCTAATTCAGTGCGTGCAAGGTCTTGCTTCTTTTCCCTTATAATATGCTATCGCTGCTTTATAGGGTAAATATGAACAAACCAACACAAGGTAAGTCTCTGCCCTGAGTGGCTTACAGTCTAGATTTCAATGGCAGAGTAGATGGGGAGGGGGACAGGATGGAAGAGAAGAATGCGACAAAGGAAGGATACAAGGAGATGCAGTTTACATGTACACAGGCTCTATCCTGACTTGCATAGCCCAGTCTAGCCTGATGTCATCAGATCTCGGAAGCTAAGCAGGGTCAGCCCTGGTTAGTCCTTGGGTGGGAGACCACCAAGGGAGTCCAGGGTTGCTATGCAGAGGCAGGCAAAGGAGCCCTGAATGTCTCTTGTCTTGAAAACCTTACAAGGTCATCGTAAATTGCCTGTGACTTGATGGCAAAATAAAAAGAGAGTCTCTTTGCAGTGAATGTTGGGTTAACAGTAGTTTGGGCTCCCAGAGAAATAGAGAATCTTTTCCAAAGTCTTAAGAACAAGCTTTTCCCAACACGGTCGCCACCAACCAGCTGCGAGGTCTTGTGCCGCAGCATCCAGTCCACTGCTCTGCTTATCTCTTTCAGGACCACTCCAGGCCAAGCCTCCCTTTGGGTGGGCTGGAGGAGAAGGTGATCCAGAGAGCCAGCGTGGAGGCCCTCCAGGCGGCTGTTGCTTCGGGGAGAGGCACCAGTCAGGTGAGGGACCCCTTTGTGTCCAGCCTAGTTTTGTAAATAATTTTTTTAAAGATGGAAGAAGTATAGCAGCATCACTCAAAAGACCGTCCTCCACAAATGGGAACAATTCCATAGAATGCAAGCTAACATTTTAGTACAATGAAAGGACAATAGTTCAATTACAGGCAGGGTTTGCTTAGTATACTTACAGTCAGTGTTCCCTCTAAGCTGAGTTGGTGTGAGGTAGCCCACAGTTTAGCCTCCAGCTCAGAGATTTTTGTCTCAGCTCGGGAAGGGATGGCTCCAGAGCAAACTAATTCATGCAGTAGCCAAATCGCTGGCTCACAACTTTAATGCCAGTAGCTCACAAAGAAGAATTTTTGCTCACAAGACTCCACAGCTTAGAGGGAGCATTGCTTACGGTGTTGGGCAAATCTCACAACCTACAGCAGATGGCAAAGACGGGATGGGATGGGGAGTTTGAGGGAGGTGGGGAGGAATCTCATGCTCAGATAGGGTTGCCAGGTCTGGGTTGGAAAATACCTGGAGATTTTGGGGGTGGATCCGGGAGACGGTGGTGTTTGGGTAGGGGAGGGGCCTCAGCACGGTGCAATGCCATCGAGTCCACCCTTCAAAGCAGCCATTTTCTCCAGGGGAGCTGATCTCTGTCAGCTGGAGATCAGTTGTAAAAGCGGGAGATCCCCAGGCCCCACCTGGAGGCTGGCAACCCTGTGCTCAGAGGCCAGGTAGGATGGAGTGGGGGAAGATCTCTTTGCTGAACTAGTGGCTCCCGGGGAGGAGCTTGGAGGAGGCACACGACGCTCTGCTGATGTGCGCTGCTGTTCTATATCAGGTCGGCTTTGTCTTGTCTACTCACACGGGGCAGGAGCCCTTCTGTGGCCCATTCTGCATCTAGAATTCGCTCCGCTGTTTTACCCAACCCACATTGGAACAGAGATTCCCCTTTACATCGCATGCCACTTTCACTTTCTTTTATTGTTGGATTTTATGGTAGTCACCACGCTGCATGCCGGTTTCACTTCCTTTGGTCTCTCGGTTTTATGGTACTGTCTGCCTAGATGAATGGCCGTTTTATGGCCATTCAGGGTTGACTCTGCAGTCAGTATGGCATTGGCCCAGGGTATTTGGATGCAGTTTTGAGACATATCCTTTTCTGTTCCGGTGTGGGCTTGGGCAACTGAGTGAATGCTAGATGCAGAATGGGCCAAGGTCCCAGGCTGAGGTCTTTCATTTCACATGAAGCCGCTGTATATAGAATCAGACCATCAGTCTATCAGTGTCAGTATTGCCTACTCAGAACGGCATCAGCTCTCCTGGGTTTCAAGCGGAGATCTTTTGCATCACCCGCTACCTGATCTTTTTAACTGGAGATGCTGGGGATTGAACATAGGACCTTCTGCGTGCCAAGCAGATGTTTTACCACTGAGCCACAGTCTTTCCAACTGGAGATGCTGGGGATTGGACATGGGACTTTCTACATGCCACGCAGATCCTGCTATTGTGGTGGAGCCACATGGGGCCCAGTGAAAAGGCAAGGGGTACCCGGGGTATGGAAAGGAATGCCTCTCCCTAGCTATGGAGGATGAAGGAGAGCTGAACCTCTCTGGGGACAGAGTCGGGCATGGTTCCTTTCACCACAGTGGGTCAGAATTCTAACCAAAGCTCCCTCTATGGAGTCCTGTGAGCAAAAATGCTACTTTGTGAGCTACTGGCATTAAAGTTGAGAGCAGGGGTCATTTCCTGCAGGAGCGCACGGGAGCGGAGCTCCGGCAGTAAAGAGCCCAGGAGGCGGGCACATGCAACAAGCCCCACCCCCTGTTCCCAGCAGCCCTCAGTCAGAGCAAGAAGCAGCCAGGTAAGTTGCAGAGCTCCCCCTGGCCCCTTGGCCCAAAACAGTCCAGTGGCACCTTTAAGACCAAGTTTTATTCAGGTACAAGCTCTCTCTTCTCTGCAAGGACAGATCTGCATGTTCTCCCCCCCCCCCAAATAGCTATCAATCCGAAACAGTCCAGTGGAGACTAAATGGTGGGTGTTGCCTTCTGACACACTTCCGGTGATGTTAGGGGGTGTGGCATGTGCAAATAAGTTATGCTAATGAGTTATGCTAATGAGCTCCTACACTGCTTTTTCTACGAAATGACCCCTGGTTGTGAGCAAACGATTTGGCTGCTGCATGAATTAGTTTGCTCTGGAGCCATCCTTCCTGAGTGAAGACAAAAATGTGTGAGCCAGAGGCTAAAAAACTGTGAGCTAGCTCACACTAACTCAGCTTAGAGAGAACACTGATTCTAACCAGACTGTTGTTCCCTAGATTTCTTTTTGTTGTTGTTGTTGTTGTTGCCAGTAAAAAAAAGCTTTGGATTTGGAATGTGCCCCTCCACATATAGAGGGTACGTTTCCCCCACACCTCATTTTGGGGGAGGGGTGTGTTTTAAATGTTCATACACCACAATCTTAATAGATACTTCCTATTTGGTTGCCAACTATGATAAAATCCAGCAAATAAAAACACCAGTCTGGTCTAAAATGAAATCAATAGTAAGACTAAGACAGTGGCATAAAAAAATATCAGTCTTGGGAACAGCAGCAAAATAATTGAAGTAACAGCCGTTTGGGGGGGCAGTAGAAAAAAACTGATGTAGACAGCGCTCTTTTGAAAAACCGTAGCAAAATCATTAAAATGGCAGTTAAAAGCATAGACAGGTCCAGTTAAAATGGCAGAGAGAGAAGAGAGGAAGATGACATTCCAGTCGTTAGGCGTATATTGCTTCCTCCATGGAATGGCACATCTCTTTGTAGGCATGAACTTCTGGGTCAGGTGGATGCCGCTGCAGGTTTGAACAGTGGTGGCTACCGGACAAGGTAGCAAAGTGTTATAAACAGGGGTCATTTAGTAGAAAAAGAGGTGCAGGAGCTCATTAGCATACTTTTTAGCATAACTTATTTGCATATGCCACACCCCCTGACATCACCGGAAGTGTGTCAGAAGGCAACACCCACCACTCAGGCTCCACTGGACTGTTTTGGATTGCTAGCTATTGGGGGGGGGAACGTGCAGATCTGTCCTCACAGAGGAGGGAGAGCTTGTACCTGAAGGCAGGCTGGGGGGGGGGGCCTCGCAAACTTACCTGGCTGCTTCTTGCTCCTCGTGGCCCAGCTGAGGGCTGCTGGGATCAGGGGGTGGGGCTTGTTGCATGTGCCCGCCCCCTGGGCTCCTTACTGCCGGAGCGCCGCTCCTGTGCGCTCCTGCAGGAAATGACCCCTGGTTATAAAAATGTGTCAGGAAACTGCTGGCGATGTAAAAGAAATATCGGTTCATATTATCATATATGGTGGAGATGCGAAAAACTGGTTACATTTTGGAAGGTCATAAAACAAGTAATCATAGAGATAGTTGAAATAGAACTTCCGTTGGATCCAGAAATATATCTGTTGAATATATTATCACAAGGTATAAAACATAACGATTTACGCTTGATACTATACATCCTTACCAGTTCCCAGAATTCTTATAGCTAAATGTTGGAAATCAGATAAAATACCAAGTAGAGAAGAGTTAATTACAAAAATAATGGAAATAAAAGAAATGGACAAAATAAGCATGATATTGTCGGGAAAGGAAGAAAATGTGTTTAAAAAAAAGATGGCAGAGAGTAGACAGATGGTTGGGAAAAAATGTGTAAAGAATACTCCAAAACATGATGTAAATGAATACATTTTTGTTTAAATGTTTGTTATGTAAATGAATATATTTTTAGTTAATTTTTTGTTATGGGAAAAACTTAAATAAACTTAGGCCAGGGTGGGAAAAGGGGCTGCATAGGGGCAGACAGGAAGAGAGCTGACTCCAAGCCCTTGACTCCCTGTCTCTTCCCTACAGGAATTGTGGGCCAAGTTGCTTGCCTATCTGATGCAGCCACATTTTACTGGCTTGGCTGCATCTCTGTGCCACATCTTGAGGATGCTGGCTGAGCAGCAGAGGCGGAGGGTGCTTCAAGATGGCTTGGAGGCAGGTGGGTACCATCGGCCCTGATGCTGTCCTGTCAGGTTCGCTTGGCAAGTGGCACCAGTCTTAGAGGTGCCATTGGAAAAAGCGTGCCATCTGTCCCGGGAGGATGCTTCGTAGTTTTGCAGGAGATTCTGAGATGCATCTCTTGGACCACACCCTGCAGCCACCTAGGTGTCAGCTCAGTTTCCTTCGTGGCTATTAAGCTGTTTGTCTATCATAGATATAAAGACCCAGCAGTGTGCTAGGTGCTGCATACATCCTGGAAATGATACACTCCTTGCTTAGGCTCACTGTTTGCAAGTGGGATCCCTGGATGAGTGTGGTCGGGACATTTCGGTGTGCAAACTAGGAAACTACCTTCAGTACTGGTTTAACGTCTCTCTCTTTCTCTTCCCCCCCTCATTCCACCCAGTTAATTCACCAACTCCCCAGGAGTTGCTGGCCCGGCTTCTGGTAAGTGCGAAGAGGGTGCATTTGGAGAGGGAAGGCATAGCCCTGTCAGGGCTCTTGCAAGACCAAGCTCAGACCACTGGTTTGCCGCCCAACTCTCCCTCTTGACCTGGCCTTGTTATGCTCTCTGTCTCATGAAACTTGCCCCACTCACATTACTGTTGCTCACTGGCAGAGCCTGGCGGTGTCCCCCTTCGACGGATCGGGCCGTGGGGTAGCGGTGTTGCTGCTGCTCCAGGTGTTGCGCCCACAGATCTACAAGGATGTAGCCGAGCAGTGGTGGGTGGAGGTCCCAGCCATGGTTGATCTTCTGGAAGGTGAGGCAGGACGCGGCCCGCTGGTCCTTGGAGTTCAGAGCTTCTAGGTCTGTCTCCCTTCCTGAGAGCTGGATCTGGAACATTTGTGAATCAATAGGTTATTTTGGGTGTATGTATTTGCAAATTTGTTCGTTAGGGTTCTACTCTCCTTTTTTGCACTCTAAAGTCCTCCTGGCAGCAGGCCCATAGCCAGGGGTTTTTTAATCCTGGGGGACTCTGGGGTTCAGGGGGGTTCAGATGGTGCCGAGGGGGCTGACCACCTCCAAGCGATATAAAATGTTGCGGATATAAAAATCGCGGGAAAACTAGCGCGGTAAGAGGTCTGTGTGACCAGACCCTAAAAATAGAAATTTAAACCCCGTGAGGGTTTAAATGCGCCTCCCCTCTCCTCCCCCCGCCAGCCAGATGAGCAGAGAGGGGGTTTAAACTTTAAACCCCCTCTCTGGAGTCGCGCCACAGCAGCGGCACAATTTGTCCATTAGCCCTGATCAAGGCAAACCTGGGTTCAAAGCCTGGCCGTGCAGAAGACTAGCAAGGAAAAATACTAAGCATGCCTCTGTTCTCCAGAAGATGAGCTGCTACAAGAAAATGTGGCATCTGGCTGATGCGGCACCAACTTGATGGGCAAAGGGTGTCACAGCTGGAAGGGGCTGTTGGGTTGGTCCTAATGGGTGAGCAGGTGCATAGGGGGAAGAGGTGGTCCTTCAGGGGTGTGGGCTCTGCCAGCTTGACTCGAACCCAGAAGCAAGTTGGAAGCAATTTTTTCAAAGCAGACAGAATGTTTGCACAGCTCCACCACCACCTAAATGTTGGTCTCCTGATTCCATCACCAGCGATTATAAGTCACAGGGTTATAGGATTTCCTGTTGGGGGATGGGGAATTAATTTTCTGTTCTTTTCTCCGATGCCCCACCTTGAAACGTGAAGCCTGCCTAGGGCCCCAAACCCACAGCTTTGTGGATGCTGTAGCACACCACCAGCCTGGGCCTTCCCAGCTCACCTGTAGCCAGGTGGTCCATATATGGCAGGGCTTCTCCTTTCAGTGCAATGGCTAATGTTGGGCCTTCTGTGCTCTCCCCTGAAGGACACAGCAAGTATACACTGAAGCAGGCTGCGTGGGAGCAGAGGCTACTGGAGGTAAGGCCAGAGGCATGGCCTTTTCCTATGCGGTTCCTGGGAAACTGACCGTGGCTCCGGTCACACGGGCAGGAAAATGTGGGGGGGAAGCGTAGCTGTTAGCCCCGGGGCAGAATAACGTGCGGTTGCGCCAGCAGATGTCTCCTGGAGGTACCGTAAAGGTCCCGTGTATAGGGGGGAGATGCCGATCACACGACCATGTGGCAAAGAAGCGGCTGAAATGGACTACATGTCCCAGAAGGGCACTCGGTGGGAGGAGAAGGGAGAAAGGGACGTGGCCAAGGGGTGGGGAAGAGGGAGCTTGAGTCCTGACAATGAAACCGAAAGGCAGGTTCCCCGGAGGGGGGGGGTCGCCGCTCTGGGCGACTCTGAGCTGCCTTCTGTGTGGCTCCTAGGGACGGTTGGACAAGCAGTCGCCTCTTCGCCTTCCTCCAGGGCAAACGTTTTTTCCCCTGTACATTGAAGTATGCGCATGCTCCGTTGGGTGCTTGTGCGCATCCATGGAGACTTGTGGGGGGGAAAGCTTTTTGCGAGGGGACATGGGCGGGCGCCGGATGCCACCAGAAATGCAATCAGACGCCCGCCCTTGCCCCGCGGTTTCCGGAAACTAGTACCTCCGAGGTACTAGTTTTTTGCTGCGCATATTCGGCAGGAATCCTCGGGTGACCCACGGGAGCGCTACGCTTCCCAGATGTGGTGGTGAGATCACGCCCGGAAAATCCGCCTTATCTTCCGTCTCTGCAGCGTGGCTAATGTTCCGTGTGACCGCAGCCCGTGTATGGTAAAGCCTGTTTTCCTGGTGCCTCCACAGTTCCTAAAGAAGTCCTTGCGGAGGAACCAGAAGAGAGGCTGGAACCTGGAACTGGGACATGAACTGGCCAAGCAAATGAACAATTACCCCAGCTCCTCTGCAGAGAAGGTAAGTGTGGGAAAGGGTTGATGGTTTCCTTTGATCTACAAGCACCTCTCTTCCCAGCTATTCATGAGTTTATGCCCAATTGCTTCCTAGCAGGAATGGCCAGGCCACCCTCTTTATTGTGTATGAAAGGATGCAGGACTCAGACCGTTTCTGCAGTAGTGAAATTCCTTACATTGATATTTTTTAAACTGTGCATTATGTGACATTTTCGGCAGTAGATTTTTCCTCACCAGGCACAAACCCAAAGTTTTCTCCTTCTTACCCTGAATTTTCAGAACTTGCTAAAACTGGGGATTCCGAAAACGTGGGGTAAGGAGGAGAAAACTTTGGGTTTATGCTTGGTGAGGAAAAATCAACTGCTGGAAATTTCACATAACATGTATTTTTAAAACGTCAGCATGGGGAAATTCACTACTGTGGAAATGGTCTCAGTGGAACATTGGACTGACCTAGCAAGCCTGTTCTTTTGATCAAGAAATGTTAGTCCTTTTTTCCAGCTATTAAAATCCCAACCAGATGAACCCACAGCTGATAGTATACCAGCATTGCTGTTGGGAGAAGGGAATCTAAATTATTTTAAAACCTAAATAAGTGGGGTCAAAATCAGCTGAGTGCTGCAGCCCTGTGGTATAATAGCCAATTTGGTACTCCAAATCCACCTTTCTCAAAACAAGGGTATGCAAATATATGTAATCAGCATTAAGTAATTCTAGTTATAAAATACTGGTTTTTTTGGGGGGGGGGGCATACATAATAGTCAGAACTGCGCAGACGTGACTCCATCAACTTGGTTTTGCTGGGCTTGCATCTAGCTTGTGGGGCATCCAGGTCTTGTGGAGCTTATCTTCTGCCCGGTGGGCCTCTTTCTCTTTCAGGCATTCCTCTACAGGGCCCTGGGCACAGCTCTGTCCACTGCAGGGGACGTGGCCAGAGTGGCCTTGCATCTCCAGGAGCTACTGCTGCATGCAGATTACGCAGATGAAGACCAGCGAGAGGTGAGCTCTGCAGTTAGGCTCCCCCATTTGACCTGTGTTGATGGCACAATCCCATCAACCCCAGAGCTTTGCTGTGCCTGGTGGGTTTGAAAAAGGGGAGAGTGGTCGAGAAGCAAAGGCGGGGGGGGGGAGCAGCCACAGTCTCTGCTGAGGTTTGTGAAGACAACGTACCTCTAGTGTCAGTTGTAGGGTGTGAGCAACAACTGTGCAAAGCTTTAGCCTTTGTGCCTTGCTTTGGACCTTCCAAGAGACCTGGTTTTGATCCCCCTGTGAAAAGAGGCTGCTGGATTAGATGAGCCTTCTGCCTGATCCAACAGAGCTCTTCTTAAGGCAGCTGGGGTGTGGAGGGGGAGGGGGTCAGTCCAGATCCCAGTAGTCCCCTCTTTCTGCAGGGTCTTTGCCAGTGCCTGGCCTGTTGCGGCGAGGGGCAGTTCCCTGCCACACTGAAGGCCCTGAGCCAATTGGAGGAGGAAATTTCCAAGGTGGAAGATTCGGTCAGCCTTCACTTCAGCCAGGTTCATATCTACATACATGTCCCTCCCCTCCCCGGCCCCTTCCTTTTCCTGATTCCATCCTCTGCAGCTGGAATAGCCTGCCAAAACAGTAAACAGGCCACACGGCTTCCTTCTCTTTTGATTGGTGGGAGCTGACTGTGATTAAACTCGCCTCAGTCACGTTCGAAGGCGCCGGCTGGGGTTTTAAGCTTTTTTTTTTTAAAAGCTTCTGTGTTTTTGGTGGCTGTGACTTTTTTTCATGATTTTATGTTTTTACCATTTGATCTTGAATTGATTTTGTGAGCTGCCTTGAGCAGGTCTCTGACGAGGCACAATTTAAAATGAAAAAACCAGGACCACCTGTTGTGGAAATATAGCCGGTTGTTGGCAACTCATCCCTGGCTCAGGTTCAAGCCCAAGGGAATGGCAGCTGCAGTGCAAACTAACGCCTGGTGAGTCAAGTAAGTGAGCCAGGCCAGCAGGGGAGAGCCTTCTGTCCCATCTTCCCATATCCTTTTGGGGGACAGTTGAATCCCCACCTGTACTGAATCAGAGCCTTAGTCTATACTGAAGTGGCTCTCCGGGGTCTCAGACGGAGGTCTTTCACATCACCTACCACTCGATCCTTTTAACTGGAGATGCCGGGGACTGCACCTGTTGACCTTCTGCAGGCAAAGCAGATCCTCTGCCGCTGCGCCATGGCCCCTCTCTTTTGGACTCCCCAGAGAGCTTGGCTCCTCTGTGATAGTGGATCTTTCTCTGCCAACCACAGGACTTGCCACTGCCAGAACAGGACAGAGTGAAGAGCGCCTTCCTCCTCATGTACAGCAGTGCCGTGACCCGTGCCCCCCAGCAGCAATTGCTGCTCCACCTGACGGCTGACGTCATGCCCAAGATCCTGCACCATTGCACCCCAAGCAGCCCGGAGGTGAGTTTGTCAGGCAGTCACCCGGCTCCACCGCTGCAGTTGGGTTTCCCTGCGAGGAGGGACGAATGAGGCCGGATTCCTACGGGACGCTAAAGGGCAGACAGAAAGAACTTGCCCATGTGACAACGCATGCCTCCAGCATCTCATTTAAACTGGGCTCCCGACTGTTACATGTTCAACACTGGAACACTAACGCAGGCCCACCAGGCCTGTTTTTGGGCAGGAACGCACAGGAACGGCGTTCCAGCTGGCTTCAGAGCTGGCCACGCCCACTACAGCCAAAACCTCTGCGTGCCTGGCTACAGAGGGAAGGCCTGGAGAGCGACACACACACCCGGCCACTCCGAGGTGGGCGGGCCAGGGGGCCCCCTGCCTTCCCTGGCCTGTCCAAGGGCCGGCTTGCCTGAGCTCCTCGCAGCCGTGGGATGCCCAGGGAAGCCAAAGGAAAGCAGTTTAAACTGCCTTCCCTTCCCTTCAAGGAGGGGAGCTTGCCCGGGCTCTCCGCAGCCACGGGGCACCCGGGCAAGCCAAAGGAAGGCATGGGGTGTGTGGCCTAACATGCTAATGAGCTATGGTGTCAGGGGTGTGGCCTAATATGCTAATCCATATCTGCTGTTGGGTGTGGCCTATTATGCTAATGAGTTCCTGCTGGGCTTTTTCTACCAAAAAAGTCCTGATGCCCACACAGTCTGTGGATCTCTGGGGCATTAATGTTACCTGTTTAGCAGCCACAGGCCCACTTTGAATGTCTGCCGGCATTGTGTTTAAATCAGTACTGAATCAATGAAAAGAGTGATCACAGACTTTGGAAAGAGAGTCTGGATGAATGGAAGACGGATGAAGGGGAGAGAAGGGATGACTAGGAGAGCAGGGGAGGGATGGGCACGCAGGTGAACGAGGGCATGTAGAATAGGGTTGCCCATCTCCAGGTGGTGTCTGGAGATCTCCTGGAATTAAAACTGGACTCCAGGTTATAGAGATCAGTTCCCCTGAGAAAATGGCCACTTTGGAGGGTGGGCTCTATGGCTTTATACACCACTGATGTCCCTCCCCAAACCCCACCCCCTAGACTCCGCCCACAAGATCTCCAGGAATTTCCCCAACCCAGAGCTGGCAACCCTAATGTAGAACCAGGGATGTGTTAAATAGTGGGTTCCATGGACACAGACCACAAGCCTAGTGATCAGTTCTACTTTATTAGTGATTTCAGCAAGCACAAGACAAGACTCCAGAGCCTTAGCTCTGTTAAATAGCATTTTATGCCAATAAAGGCTAACTTGAACTTGTTAAATAGCATGCAATTGCCACATCCAAACACACCCCACTCCCAGTGATAGGTTATTTACATAACATTACTACTAGATTGGTTACTTTCAGAATCCTGGCAGGCTATTGTTCTTGTGCTCTAAGCTCAGCCAGCCTCTGGGGTGATTCAATCAGGGATGATTCAACCCCAATACATAATGCCAGCCTCCAGGTGGGACCTGGGGATCCCCCAGAATTCCAGCTCATCTCCAGACTGCAGAGATCAGTTTCCATAGAGAAAAGGGATGCTTTGGAGGTTGGACCCTATGGCAGTGTACCCCACTTGAGGCCCCTGTCTTGTATCCCACTTGAAGTCCTCAGGCTCCATCCCCGTATCTCCAGGAGTATCCCTACATAGATCAGCCAGTGTGACAAGAGTGGTCATAAATTTTTGCCGGTGAACCCTGGGTTCCACTCTGCTCGTGAAGCTTAAAGGGGAAGCGTGGGGCAAGTCACCCATCCGTAAAGTGGGAGTAGCAGGGCATACCTGCACCACAGAGCTCCCTGCCCCCTCTCCCCCTCTCCCCAGCAGGCTTCACCCCCTTCCTCTCTCTTCTGCATCTTGGCCCAGGTTGCCAAAGATCCTGAGCTGATCCTGAGCTTTACCCGGTGTGTGTCTGAGGTCTGCCTTTCCATCCGAGATGGAGGGGAGGCCGCAGCCATCCAGCTGCCCCACAAAAGGGCTCTTGTCGACCATCTCGTGGTGAGTAACGGAGCAGGCGTGGTCGTGAGCTTCAGACAGGAGGAAGGGGGCTGCTGTCGCCACCACCACAAGGGCGGGGAAACTGGAAGGGGGTGGATATAGGGCCTTATAATCTGTAGCTGCAGGGGGAGAGAGTGGCCAAGAGCCTCTGCTTTGTGGTCTGTGGCTTCCGGGGGCCCCTTCCCACTGTGTTCGTTTCAGGATATCATCAGAGCCCAGCCCTTGGATGCCCTCATGTCTCCTGTTCGCCAGCAGGCCATGGTGGCCCTCCGGCACCTCAGGTATGTTCCCCTTTCTCCCCCCCCCCTTCTTTTTTTAAAACGAGCCAATCTTTAGGTCAGGCTCTCCAGGGCCTAGGCCTAGGGTGGCCAGACCCCCTGTTTGGCAGGGGTTACCCGCTTCTTGGGGGGTTCAACCCACTGCCAGCTAGTTGGCCAGTAGGGGAAGCCCCGCCCCCAAGCCCCGCCCCGCGCAGCTACCCCTCTCCCTTCTCTCTTGAGAGAGAGGAGAGGGACAGCTGTGGGCCCCGCACCTGATCTCCAAGTGGCATTGCCGCTCGGAGATGGGGGCGGGGCTTGAAGCCGGGACATCCCCAATGTGATGTCATCATGTTGGGGACGCCCTGCCCCCTCTGGGAACGCCCCCCAAAGTTTCCCGCTGGGTACGAAGATGGACCTGGCAACCCTACCTAGGCCACGGAACCCATTTTCACAGCCCAGGGTGTCCATCTCTTCTCCTCAAATAACTACAGTGCTCCAGAGATGAGGAGTGAATTTCTCTGGCCAGATTGGAGACCCAACCCTGCTCCATTCGGTAATCATGACGTGGAGACTGGGCTCACCGTGATTCCTCTACGCTTGGCAGCCGGCCGCTTAAATATGCGCACCGTCTCTCTTAACAAGCATTTTGTATTCGGGGTGAGACTAAATTTCTGTCCGTGGTGACAGTGCGGTTGCTCACCGCCAGGCAGGGCCGCCCTGGAGATCTCCCGGAATTACTTCTGTTCCCCTGGAGAAAACGGCTGCCATGGAGGACGGGTTCTGTGGCATTAGACCCTGCTGAGTCCCCTCTCCAAACCCCCTGCCCTCCCCAGGCTCCACCCCCAAAATCTCCGGGAATTTCCCAAACCGGAGTTGGCAGCCCTAGGTGACAGGTCTGCATGACCCATTCCCATGGAAGACAGAGGCCCACACAAAGACCGGGGAGACCTGGATTCAGATTCCTCCTTTGCAGATTCCCTGGGTGACCTTGCCGCCGGTCACTTTTGCTTAGCCAGAATGACATCACAGGGTTGTTGTGAGGATGAAATGGAGAAAGGTAGAACCATATATGCCACCTCGCTCCTCTTGGTGGAAGGCCCCCAAAATGATGATTTTTCCATACTGGTTGAATGTTTGCTTCCTGGTGTGTTGAAGCGTGTGGCTCTTCTGCCTATCTTGGATCCTGTCCCTTGATTTTTGGCTTGACTCTCTCCTGTTGTGGCTCAGTGGCAGCAGGGCACCTGCTTTGCATGCAGTAGACCCCGAGTTCAGTCCGTAGCATTCCCAGGTAAGAGGAGGTGTGAAAGACCCCTGACAAAGACTCTGGAGAGTCGCTGCCGGTCAGAGGAGATGACACTGACCTTGAGAGACCAAAGTTCTGACTCAGCATAACTCAGTTTCTTGAGCTCATGATGAGACAGCAAAGTATCATTCGCCTGTGCTGTGTTAGTCACCTTTTCTGGGGTTAGCAGTTAATGGCGACTGCTCTGTGGTCCCTGTCCATTTTATCAGTTTTTGTTGTTTTTGTTGTTGCTGGATTTGGTTTGTTCATATATTTGGTGTAGTGGTTAAGAGCGCAGACTCTAATCTGGGAGAACCGGGTTTGATTCCCCACTCCTCCACTTGCACCTGCTGGATGACCTTGGGCAAGCCATAGTTCTGGCACAGCTGTTCTGGAAAAAGAGCAGTTTCTGTCAGAGCTCTCTCAGCCCCACCTACCTCACAGGGTGTCTGTTGTGGGGAGGGGAAGGGAAAGGAGTTTGTAAACCGCTCTGAGAATCCCTTGAGTAGTGAAGGGCGGGGTATAAATCCAATCTCCTCCTCCTCCTCCTCCTCTTCTTCTTCTTCTTCTCTCTCAGCCCCACCTACCTCATATGGTATCTGTTCTGGAGAGGGAAAGGGAAAGGAGATTGTAAACTGCTCTGAGACTCTGAGTGAAGGGCAGGGTATAAATCCAGTCTCCTCCTCCTTCTCTTCTTCTGCCCACTAACGGGACTTTTTACTGTCCTTTGTTGCTGGGGTGAAACACTATGAGGATTTTTGAGAAGTCTATTTACATGCATGTATTACATGAAATATATCATGGGCCCCCAGCCTTTTTGGGTCTGTGGGCGCATTTGGAATTCTGATGTGGCACGGTGGGCGCAGCGACAAAACAGGTGCCACGAAATGGCTGCCACGGGAAGTGGAGCCAGCCACCTAATGACTGCCACGGTTTAACTTCAGTGAAACAGTGCAGATTCTTGGGCTGTGGTGGCAGCTGCTGCCAAAACATTTAAAAAAGAATCCGCAGAGCCAATCAGAAGCCTCACTGGGCAAAAGCCCTACCTGGCCCCACCGACTTCCTGAAAACACTTGGCAGGTTCAAGAAAAAAGAACTCGGTGGGAGCCGTGACACCACGTTGGGGACTCCTGAAATATATGGACCCCGTTTCTGTCTTTCTCAGCACAGTGCCAGAAGCCCTGAGCCACGAGGAGAACCGGGAGCTGGCAGAGCTGTGCCTGGGCTGCATCTTTGCCTTGCCTCCCCTGGAGCTCACGGACCATGCAAGTGAGGTGTGGCAGATGCGCTGTGGCAGACGTGGATGGGTGGGATGCCAGGGGGCTCGGTAAAGAGGAGAGCTGCCGGTTGGGAGAGCATCCAGTCCCTTCTCCATTCCTGGATTCTGTCGTGATCTGCCTTGCAGGCGCTTTATACCGGTGCCGTGGCTTCGCTGGCAGAGCTGGTGGAGACCCTGCTGGAAGAAGAGGAGGAGGGGGGAGATGCCAGTTCAAAGTGGGTCCAGGAAGTCTTCCAGGTGAGCGAAGCAGAAGATGAAGCCAGCATGAATCTTCTAGTCCTTGCTGCTGAAGCTTGCTCTCCTCTCCTGACCCCCTTCTTGCTCTTGCCCGTTCTGCACAAGTTTGTCTGCTGTTCTCCCGCCCTCTTGTAAGGCACGGTTAGTTCCACGGAGAGGCCAGGGCTCATGGGCAGGAGTGCTGTGGCTGTGATACCGGTAGGGTGTGATCTTCTTTAGGTTGCCCAGACTGAGAGATGGAGGAGCTGCACTCTTCCTGGGCACTGTCATTATGGAGAATAGCAAAGGACAGGTAGCTGTAGGGGACAATTCTGAAAAGAGATTGCTGTGTAGTTTGGTTTGCTTGGAGCTGCGGTGGCTCAAGTGGTTAAGACGCTGAACTGCAGGCTGTGGAAGGTCGGTAGTTCAGCAGTTCGAGACCCGGGTGCCGCATGACGGAGTGAGCTCCCATCTCTAGTTCCAGCTCCTGCCAACCTAGCAGTTCGAAAGCAAGAAATTGCAAGTAGATAAATAGGTACCACTTTGGTGGGAAGGTAACAGCGTTCCGTGCGCCTTGGTGTTTAGTCATGACCACAGAAACATCTTCGGACAGCGCTGGCTCTTCGGCTTTGAAACAGAGATGAGCACCGCAACCCTAGAGTCGGACTCGTCTGGCTTTCGAGCAAGGGAACCCTTTACCTTTACCTTTACCTTGGTTTGCTTGCCTAAGTTGTCTGATCAGGGGGACTTAATGTGTTCCATTTCCCTGGCCCCATCCACTACATTCAGCTGAACAAGGGGTCCCACTGGTGGTCTCCCAGAATTACAACTGCTCTCCAGACTACAGAGACCTGTTCTCCTGGAGAAAATTGTTGGCAGAGATAGAGGTTTATTTGGGAACTAATAGACTTGATAGTAAAGAGGTGCGACAATGATAGGGTCCTAACTACATCTCTAGCTGAGAGAGAGGGAGAGACTGAGTGTGGCCCTTCTGAGAAGACGGGGGGGAATTACCCTGAGGGTGCGTTCAGACACGCCGTTTGATCTGGTGTCGTGACAGTTCATCAATGGATTTTATATGCACGATCACACAGTCAACATCTGCCTCCCGTCCCCAGCCGTTGGTTTCCAGCTCAAAACCGCTTTAACCCAGAGTATTTTGTTACCAGGTCCCAAAGTGGTGTTTTCTCAGCTCTCCCGTTTAAAGCTGCATTTCCCCCCTGTGGGATCGCTTCTCCGGTGTCAAGCCACTTCCGGTTTAAACCCCCTCCCTGCTCGAAAGCTGCCTTAGGCTTCCGCTTTTCGCCTGCCATTTATTTTGGAGCATCGGTGGTGCACGCATAGGTGGCGCTCCGCTACCGTGTTTAGAAAACCAACATTTAAACAGTCACTTGTTTTAGAGTTTAGATGAGTTCGGGATCTCACAGAGGCCATTTTTGGGTCAAACGTTTAAAGGGAAGTCTTCTGTTGGAGGGGTTGGATTGATTCGCCCTGGTGGTTCTGTGCATGTGCCATGGTAGTTTCACCCCCCCCCCCCATTCTACAGATGAGCGCCTATGTGCATGCACAAACGGAGAAAAAATTTTAAATGCCGACACATGCTCCTGCGCGTTGGTAGTGTAGACGCCAGGGAGCGACGCGACTGCACGGTGAGGCGGGATAAGGGAGGTAAGTGTGATCGCGATTATCCAGCTGAAATATAATCTGGTTGGAACCGGAGCAGTTTAACCCGCTCTCAGCACGCCGTCTGACCCTGAGAGTAACAATCTGGAGACAAACAAGGAATGACACTTAAAAGGAGAGGAGGTGCTGACCTCATTGTTCTCTCTATTCTTCTTCTTGCTGCCCCCTGCAGGGTCTTCTTCTCTTCTTCTTTATTGTCTATCCCAACAAAAATGGCTGGTCTGGAGGGTGAACTGTATGTCATTGTACCCCACTGAGGTCTCTCCCCTCCCCAAACCCTGCCTTCCCCAACGTCCACTCCCCGTCTCCAGGAGTTTCCCAACTCAGCCCAGAGTTGGCATCCCTACTTCCTGCTTACTCCATAGGTGCACGCCAGCCTCTCCTTTGCATTTATCTGTGGGTTTGAAGGTTTGTTTGTTTGTTTGGAGGGAGATGGGGCTTAGAACGCCTGCATAGGGGCTGGGATGCAAAGGCCAGCTAGTTCCCTCGGGGGACTGATGACGCCCCCATTTACCCACAGCTTCTACTGTACTGGCTGGTCTCTGAGCAAGAATGGGAACGTGCCCGCGCCATGCAGCTCAGTGCCCGCCTGCTGAAAGAACACCACCGGAGGACCACTGCTTCGGTGAGCCTGTCCCAGCTTCCGAGGAGACCAGGGAGTGCTCCCTCAGCCCTAATTCAATAACACACCAGAAAGGAGATTCCCACATATGCGGGTGGCGGAATCACGTTTCTTGGCTGTGCTGGCCTTCTTGGCACTGTTAAGTCGACTACTTAACAAAGAGTCAGAGAGTGATTTCAGCAAGTGATTAAGCTTTAATGAACACAACCAGAACAGAACAACCGGAACAACATTAGCACTGCAGTTGTGCTTCTTTTAAACTCTCCCGGGCTAATGTAGCCACGCCCTACTTTACATAACAACCAATAGGGTTGTAAGAATAATGTCCAATCACAGATGTTCCCTCTCAGGGAACTGGATGGTAGGTGATTGGTCTGCTCTTCCTGGGCTACCAATAGGAATTGAGTCATTAGGATCCTTGCCCAGGACGAAGCTTTACATGGTGTTTCAATTAGTGAGTTTACATACAGTTGTCATTGAGCTGAATACACCACAGGCACAGAGCCGGCTGTAGGCAGGAGTGTGACCAGCTGCTCTCTTTCCTCTGCTATGTATACATGGCAATTGTCCCTATTTACAAAGGACAGTCCCTATTTAGAATGCCTCTCTGCACTGCAGTGCCTTTTGAAAAATGAGGCTAGCGTGTGGACATAGACAGTGCTTACCTACACGAATCGGAACTGTTTATCTAGATTTGGGGTGACAGGGCTGGAGAACAGCAAAAAACCCAGAAAGCAATCAAGTAAGGTGGAAGGAGAAGGGCGGGAGAGAGATTTAAAGGGACCATAGCCTTTAAAGCATCGGTGTGTTTCAAATGGGGGGGGGGGGATGGCCACAAATTCAGTCTGAAAAAAGACAGACATACAATAAGGAAAACATTTGAATGCCATTGGTTTCCAGTGTCATCATCTCATGGGAATCCCAGACTAAGCAGCTAGTGCAGAACTACTCTATTGTATGGAATCTCCTTCCTTACATCGGTCAGAAGACTTCCACTTTCTTGAATTCCCACAAGTTATGCCAGGTGGAATTGTCCAGGAGGGCTTTTAATACTGCTACCCAATTCTTGATTACAAGTGTGTGTGTGGGTTTTTTGGATTCTTAATTGTATATTGGTTTTGTTATTATCGTAAATCATCTTGTGCCTGGTCTCCGAGAAAGGCAGGCTAAAAATGTTCCAAAGAATGAGATGTTCTACTTAACATTCTTCAGTTTTAAAGAAGGAAACTGTCACAAAGCGAGTTACTAGTGCTCAGCCATGTTGCTTCAGAAGCCAGGGCAAGGTGTATTCATTGGGACAAAGAAGGGGAGACAGGCAAAGAAGGAAGTGGCACACCTGTAAGAACATCCTTCATTTTCTCCATGACACATCAGAAGCCATGCTGCTCTTCTTCCTCTCCCACTCAGGCCAGGATCTCCTTCGGACAATACAGCCGTCTGGTGGGGGCACTGGGGCCCTTCACTTATGACACACCAGGGACCACCCGCCAGGCCGCTGGCGACTGCATCAGGACCTTGCTGAGCATCCAAGGTGAGGGGACTTAGCGAGGGCGATCAGATGAGCACCTGGCCAACTGGTTCATCTGTCTCCACCTAACATGTCAAGCGGCACTGAAGGCCAAACTAGATGTTGTGTTTTTGGTAGGTTGGGTCTGAGTTCCCCGGGCGGGCCCGGCCCCAACCCAATTTGCTTTCCTGGCAGCTACAAAGTGGCTGCAGGGAATGCCATTTTAAAGATCAGAGGGAGCCCTTTTCAGCTCAGAATGGTATCTTTGGGGAGGTGAGGCTCTGCTCCCCCCCCCCCAGTTTTCATAAGCTGAAACAGCCTGGGCAGGAAGTTACGTAAATAACTTTGGTCTATTCTGACTATTCTGAGCCACAGTGATGTAAATAACTTCTGCTGGGCCGTTTCAGCTTCTGAAATCACATGGTGGGGAGGCAAGAGCTCCTCTTCCCCCCATGCTGTAATTTCAATCAGAAAAGCTCTCCCTCTAGATCTTTAAAATGCCGTCCCTTGCTGCTGCCGCAAGTTGAGCCAGAGGAACCCAGACCCAGGCTGCCCAAAGCCATGATGTCTAGTTTGGCCCTGAGAAGCAGCACAGACTGTGCAGATTAAGCGGGGAGGAGAGGTGTACTTTTGGTCGCTGGGATAAAGTTGCAATCAGCAATGGTGCGAAACTGATTTTTTGTTACTCGGAGCATGAGTTTTGAGTCCTTGCCCTGCCCACTATATCTCCGCTGCCACTTTCTAGACCATCTCAGTCTCCCATTCTCGCTCTTTCTCAGTCCACAGCCAAGAGCCCCTGCGGGTCACACTTGCCCTTAAATCCAATGCTTGGCGAGGCAAGAGTAGCCTTGCCATGACTGGCCAGGACTGAAACTTCGTCCATGATCCATCTGATGGGGGGGGAGGGGTAGTATGCCCAGCATGCTAACATTCCATTAAACTCATTGACAAAATGCTTACAGAAGCCGTGTTTCATGTTCGACACACTCTCTGACTTCTTTATCTTGCCAGAATATATTGGTTTCAGACCAGTTTTCTCTCCCTGCCTTCCCTCCCCCCAAGTCGTGGGAATCATAATTGTGATGAGGATGCTGATAATTCTTGCCCATTCCCAATAGGGGCTGGTGTATTAAACCGGATTAACTTTGCAGTGTGGACGTGCCCTGCTGGCTGTTAATCTAGTAATATGAATATCATGACCTTCTGGGGCTGGAGCCCTGATGCCAGTTTGGTCATTGGCCTTGTGGGCATCTTTTCCAGGCGTGGTCACTCCCCAGACACCAGAGGGTCGCCGGGAGGACTGGAAGCTGCAACGCATCCAGCAAGATCTGCAGAGCGAGTGCCCGCGAGAGGTGCACGCGGCCTCTTTCCGGCTGGCCAAAGTAAGGGGTGGGGGCTGAACGTCTCTGGAGGGTGGGACTGGGGACGATTCAGGCCCAAGGACAGGCTCTCATGCCCAGGGCCCTGATCTTCACCTTAATATATTGGGTCTTCTGGAATAGGAAACAGCAAGGGGGCTTGTAAAGTAAAGGTAAAGGTTCCCTTGCTCGAAAGCCAGTCGAATACGACTCTAGGGTTGCGGTGCTCATCTCTGTTTCAAAGCCGAAGAGCCAGCGCTGTCCGAAGACGTTTCCGTGGTCATGTGGCCGGCATGACTAAACACCAAGGCACACGGAACGCTGTTACCTTCCCACCGAAGTGGTACCTATTTATCTACTTGCAATTTTTTGCTTTCGAACTGCTAGGTTGGCAGGAGAAGGGGGCTTGTAGGAATGCGTTAACCTGGACAAAGCACCGTAGTGTCAGATGAATGGAATGTATGGTTGCTGCTTTCTCTTCCTAATAGAGTGCCTGTTCCCTTACAGCACAAAGGGCAGAAGTTCAACAGGTACAGCACTGCCCAAGCAATGCAGCAATACCACAGACTTTTCCCACTGCTGCTCCTTTTAAAAATATATTAATATCAAGCAGACCTGTACATACCATTAAATAAGATATCCCTAAGATTGCCAAACTATAGCCCACAGTATTCCCCCAGAGAACATTCTTCATAGAGCTCTTCCCTGACATGAATCTGCCTTATACTGAATCTGACCATCAGTCCATCAAAGTCAATATTGTCTACTCAGACCGGCAGCAGCTCTCCAGGGTCTCGGGCTGAGGTCTTTCACATCGCCTACTGCCTGGTCCCTTACCTGGCAATGCTGAGGATTGAACCTGGGACCTTCTGCATGCCGAGCAGATGCTCTGCCACTGAACCACAGCCTCTCCCCAGAGATATGAACCCAGATGAAGCTGCCTTATCCTGCATCAGACCATGAGTCTATCAAAGTCAGCTTTGTCTGCTCAGAACAGCAGCAGCTCTCCAGGGTTTCTGTCTGAGGTCTTTCACATCACCTACTGCAAGATCTTTCAACTGGAGATACCAGGGATTGAACCTGGGACCTTGTATATGCCAAGCAGAGGCTCTGCCACTGAGCCACAGCCCCCTCCCCTCATCCTGCTGCCTTTGCAAAGCTGTCAGGTCGAATACTTGTGTATACATCTTTCACCACCTCTAACTACTCCTCCTTGACTGGTAGTATTGCTGCATCTGTTTGCTGGAAGAAAGTTGCACCTGTTGAATGACTGCCCCTCTGTGGGCATATGGTTGTGTAGATTAGTACCCTGCCTAACCAGCCTGTCTTCCCCAAACATAAAGGGGACCCTCCCAGCATTCCCTGCGGCACCTGGGAGGACCCGTTTTCGTGATCTGCACCCAAGGAGAGGCAAGGGTGGTGGATGGGGGGTACCTTCTAACATTCTCCCTCCCTCAGATCGTCAGCTCTACCATTCCCTCGCAAGAGATTTTGACCTACCTGTGCTCCTTGCTGGAACAGCTGGGAACAGTGAGTGTTGCTTGTGACCGGGCTGTCCTCCTGTGGTTTGAAGTGATGCTGAGGGAACGGGGCCCAGACCTGAGGGACAAGGTAAGGCTAGGCTGCAAACAAACCAAAGCAGGCTATTGACAGCTGGCTGGGCCTTGAGCAGTGATGTGACATGGAAAGGGGAGCTCCTGCTGTGCCATTGGCTGAGAGAGCCTCCAAAGCACTTGTGAAATGAACTCCGAGCTTGCAGACGGCTGTTTGGTCTTCTCTTTCCAGGGGCAGGTCTAGAATGGGGTCCCGACATGGCACCCACCGGCATTTTTCCTGGCACTTGCCACGTCTTTTTAGAAGGAGGGGGCAGATGGAGTCTCTGCCCGGTAGGGCTTATGATTGGCCACTGGAGATCTGATAGGTTGTGCGGATTAAAATAGTGGTATTTTAGCGGCAGCTGCCACCATTTTTGGTTTTATTCCCCCTCATTTTTCTTTCCCATTTTTATTCCCTGCTGTTGGGCTTCCTCTGTGTGGCTGGCTTTGCATCCTGTGGCAGGAGGGCGGCCAACTCTGGGTTGGGAAATACATGGAGATTTTGGGGGTGGAGCCTGAGAAATGCCAGGTTTGGGGAGGGGAGGTGTTTCAGTGGGGTAGAAGGCCATAGAATCCACTTTCCAAAGCGTCCATTTTTTCCAGGTGACCTTTGTCACCTGGAAATCAATTGTAATCCCGGGAAATTTCCAGCCCCCACTTGGAGTGTGGCTGCCTTACATGGCAGCCATTTTGTGGTGGTCTGCCCCCCCCCCCAAGACAGCCATTTTGTGGCCGCGCCCGCCACCCTGTGTCAGAATTCCAAAGGTGCTCCCAGGATGAAAAAGGCTGGGGACCCCTGGGCTGGAAAATTAATGCTGGAAAAGTTGAATGCTGCCTGTGAGCGTCTACATTCATCTCGTGGCAGACTCAGAGCTTTCTAAAGCCCATGTGTGCCGTGCACTATGGTTTGCCTTCGTGTGAGTGAACCTCATTACTCAGTGAAAGTGGGGCACACCCCTCGGCCCCAGCTTAGTTTTTGTGACCCTCAGTGATGGCAGCCAGCCCCTCTCGTTTCTAGGTCTGCGACCTGGTGGCCTTCATCTGTTCCAGCCTTCAGCATTCTGAGGACCCTGCTCAGCGCCTGTCTCTGGCCCGGGCCGTGGCCACACTGTCGAAGTACCATCTCAAGACGGTCTGTGCCTCCCTCTTGGAGCAGCCCTTACTTCAAGACAGGTCTGTGCTAGGCCATCTTGGATCAGGGGGTTCATTTGGGACATGGATGCCCACCCCTCCCGCTCACAGGAACTCCCAAGAGTTCTTCACCCCAAACACAAACGGTTTTTCATCCCCAAAAGCACGACATCTGCCTTATACTGAATCACACCATCAGTCCCTCAAGGTCTGGAGTCAGTATTGTCTACTCAGACTATTCAGGGTCTCAGGCGGAAGTCTTTTACATCATCGACTACCTGGTCCTTTTAACTGGAGATGCTGGGAATTGAACCCGGGACCATCTGCATGCATGCTGTACCACTGAGCCGCCCTGAGCCTTAGGGGAGAACGGGATATAAATAAATAAATAAATAAATAATCAGGGCTCTTTTTGTAGAAAAAGCCCAGCAGGAACTCATTAGCATAATAGGCCACACCCAACAGCAGATTTATTAGCATATTAGGCCACACCCCTGACAGCACAGCTCATTCGCCCATTAGGCCGCACCCCCATGTTACCAGAAGTGTGGTCATCCAGCCACACCCACCTATTGCTTGTTATTCTGTTTACCTTGTTTGTTGTCAAAACCCAGGGCTTTTTTTGGAGCAGGAACTCCTTTGCATGTTAGGCCACACACCCCTAATGTAGCCAATCCTAATGAGTTTCTGTTGTTGGGTGTGGCCTATTATGCTAATGAGTTCCTGCTGGGCGTGGCCAACTTGGGAGCCAGCCAGAACTCCGTTCCTGTGCGTTCCTGCCCAAAAATAGCCCTGAGTAAGATACTGAGTTGTGATGTACACAGAGAAACAGATGTGATTCTGTGACCACTTGTTTTCAAAACCAGGGCACCCATTCCTTGCCTCCACATTGCACCAGTGAGAACTGCCATCCATCAGGGAGATTTCTCAAGGGATATTTGTGGATGTTTTGTACAATTGACTAGTAATTCCAGTGGGGAAGCTAGTTTGATTTTCTTTTCCTTCGCATTGGGGTAGGACCTTGTACCTCTTTTTGCATTATTATTATCTTTTGCCCTCAAGCCGCAGCTGACTTAGGGAGACCCCACAGGGTTTTCAAGGCAAGAGATGTTCAGAGCTGGTTTGCCATTGCCTGCCTCTGCGTGGCCATCCTGGACTTCCTTGGTGGTCTCTCATCCAAATACTAACCGGGGCCGACCCTGCTTAGCTTCCAAGTTCTGACGAGATCGGGCTAGCCTGGGCTGTCCGGGTCAGGATACTGATATTAGGTTAGAGCACCACCACCCTGGTTGTGGTGGTGGTACTGCCCTTATATCCTGACCATAACAATGTGTCATAAACCTATCTTTCTCTCTGAGTGGATTGCCACCATCTGTGCCATCCCCAGGGCCAGGAAGGAACTCTGGGCAGTGCTTGTGACTCGCACAGAGAGCTGTCTTCCCATCGTGCGGTATTTGCTGAGACAGCTGAGAGCAGGAGGAGGGACCGGGGAGGCAGGCGGCGACAACAGCCAAGGACCGGTGAGAGCTCTGGCTTCTTTGGGGGGGGGGGGAGCCTCTCTGCACCAAGATTTCCAAGGCGAGGAGACTGGGGTCTGAGCTTCAGCCATTTGGGGGTGGAAAGGGAGAGTGAACGGGGTGTTTATTTCTGAAATTACTCTGCAGACATCAAGCGTTGCTCCCTGTAGAGTTCATACTTGCTTCTTGCACCCCACTGGCCCCTCAGGGGGATGGGTTTATTTTTTAGTTTTGGTTTGGTTATTTCCTAGTTTTGAGTTTGAAAGGATAACACGTTTCCAACAGTGAAGGGGCCCTGAAATAAAGGTAGGTTAGGCTAAGGGCGAATGAGTGGCCCAGGGTCACCCAGTGAGTTTCCATGGTAGATTGTGGTTCCCACCTGGGATTCCCAGGTCTTAGTCCAACACTCTAATCACCGTACCACACAGGATATCAAATGTCAAACCGAAGATACTGGGAATCGAAGCTGGGTCCCTTAGGGTTGATCCTTCTATTTCTGAGCATTCTGTCCTGACCGGCAGTGGCTCTCCGGGATCTCAGGTGGTCCGGGATCTTCCCCAACCCTTGCTACTAGAAATCGTATTAACTGGAGGTGCCAGAGGGCTTGAGCCTGGATCCTTCTGTATGCAGCGTGGTTGTTCCACGGCTGAGCCACAGCCCCTCCTCCATGTTGTTCATCTACAACAAAGTTTGAGTCCAGTGGCCCCTTTAAGACCAACAAAGTTTAATACTGGGTCCATGGGGTCGCGAAGAGTCGGACTTGACTGTGCGACTGAACAACAACAACATAAGGTTTCATGTGCATGCACACTTCTTCAGCATCTTCTGTTTCATCAGACCAACACGACTACCCACCTGGATCTATATTGTTCATATGTTTTGCTCAACCTCTGTTGCTCCTGTGGGGTTCCACCTGCTCCTAGGTGGGAAAGGAGGTTCCTTCTGCATTCTGTACCTAACAGATGTAGCTTGGCGCGTGCACACACACACGTACGCACGCACGAAGCTGCCTTATACGGAACCAGACCCTTGGTCCATCAAGGTCAGTATTGTCTATTCACACTGGCAGCAGCTCTCCAGGGTCTCAGGTCTGAACTCTTTCACACCACCTGATCTTTTCAACTGGAGATGTGGGGGGGGAGGTTGAACCTGACCTTCTGCATGCCAAGCAGATGCTCTGCCACTGAGCCACGGCCTCTCCTCATGGCCTTCCCACTTGTGACCCTAGTCATAGGTTTGCACACAGAGAACGTAGGTTCGTTGGTGATGCCCAGCTGACCAGGTGCCGTGACCCCCCTCCATTCTGTGGTCTCTTTCCCAGGTGCTCGCTGCCCTCCAGGAGGTGATTGTGGGTCTGAATGACTGTGACAGGCTTCTCCCGCTGCTCCCAGAGCTGTGCTACTTTCTCCTGTGCCGACTCAGCAGAGGCCCAGATGCAGAGAGGCTGATTTCAGCTCCTCTCCTGGAAAGAAACGAGGACATTGTGACATCCCGCAGGTGATGTTCTATCCCTCCGTTGCACCGTGCGTGGCTAACTCCGTCCACAACCCTACCATGCTCAGGACAAACGAGAGCCCCGGTTCCTCCGCCCTAGGCCCTCCCAACCTGGTCTGCCAATCGGGGGAACCTTCACCTTCTGTGCTCCCAGTTCCCCCTTTTGCATCAAGATCTATTCCAGGCCTTTGACAGTAGCATCAGAAGCAGAAAGCTTTTCCCCAGGCAAGCCCGATCTTGTCATCGTCTGGTAGTTAATTCTGTATCAGGTGTACACAGAGCAAGTGCAATTCCTTCTGAATTTCCTTGTCTCTCCCCCACACTAGTAATAAATATACATACCTCCTGTTGTTCCCAATCCTGCTCCAAGGTTAATCAGTCCCACCCCTGGCCGTGAGCATTGTCCCCCCTTCCACAACCCCTTTGTGAACCTCTGACTTGGCTTCAAGGGGGGTTTGCTAGGCCTCTTCTTTCTGCCAAGCCTTTCTCAGCCAAGCACTTCTGCTTTCCAGGCTGGCTGTCGGAGTGTTGCAGGCCGTGTTCGACAAAGCCCTGCCAGAGACGGCAAGGGAACTGGACGTAGGAGACGCCTGGCACTTCCTGGCGGAGTCACACAGCTTCCTCCAAGGTGTTGCCCAGTTGGCCAGGTAAGGAGAGTATTTCTACTAACTTTGGAAAGTCACAGGGAGATTCAAGCACCTTCCCGTGACCTCGGTTCCCTGTTTGACCCTTGACAACAGTAAAATCAAGGAAAACGGGGACAATTTTTAAAGTGCTTTGCCTTCTGATCCAGGCTGGCATCTTGGGCTTAGATCGCTGGCAAAACAGGGCACAATCTGCCTGTTGAGCTTAAATAGCAACTCTGGTTTTGCAAAGTGTATCCGACATAATTTGCAGAGGAGCTGAGGTCTTGCAAGGCTTTGGCGAAAGCCTCCCTTAACTTGCCAATGACTTTTTCTTCAAAACTCTTATGGAACATTGGGAGATCCACTTTTTTCAAGGATGGGATGGACAGTTGGGGTTAGAATTAGGAGTCTTTTGGGTAATCTGGCGGAGCTCAAGATGTGTGCATGGGTCGCTTGGGTGTGGATCACGTCCCCTGGTTGAGGGAGAGTGGGGGGAGGGGAATGTACAAAGTCCCTTCAAACCCTTTCGTGTCTAAGGTGCATTCTGTCCATGAATGGTTGGACCATAGTCTAAGTCCGATGTCTTGAAATCCAAGGAAAGGAAAATATCTCAGGATGCTGCCAACATCTATGTTGAACTGGCAGGATGAACATGGAAACACCCTGACCTGGATAGCCTAGGCAAGTCCAATCTCATCAGATTTCAGCAGCTAAGCAGGGCCGACTCTAGCAAGTACTTGGATGGGAGACATCCTTGGCATACCAGTGGTCATGAGGCGGGGGCAGGCTTTATTCAGCCACCTCTCTGAATATCCTCCAGGCCCCCAGTAGGGGCCAGTCACCAGAGGTCGCCATGACTTCCAGGAGCACACAGGTGCACACATACACGCACATATAAAAAATACCAAAACAAAACACGGAAACAACCTGCAGCCCCTTGGAGAGTATGCCGCATGAGCTCTCCAGAGAGGAGTTTTCGGGGTGTGGGGAGAGGAGTACCCCGTTCTTTGTCTTGACGGCCACTTTGAGCAGCAGTTTCAGAACATGTGCAGAACACCGGTAGCAAGATTTTAAGTTCAGTTAAGAATTTTTTTCCCCCTTCAGGTGTTAAAGAAAGAGAAGGAAAGGAAGGGGGATTGGATTGGCTACATCTACAGGAGGGCCAAAGTCATTTTATGCTAATATCACCCAAAATCCAATTCCCAGTTAAACAGTCATCTGACTCCTTACAGCTCCCCAGCTCTGGAATTTCCCTCTGGGGTCCTAACTTTAGCTTGGAACTAAAGGCACAGCACAGGGGGCTGCCCTTTGGAAGCAAAGAAGAGCATCAAAGCAAGGGCGGACTTTGCGTTTATCACTTTCCCCCCTTATCTTAACCCCATATTAGCTCACTGGTATATTTGTTCTGTTTCTCATTGGTGTCATTTTCCCACTCTGAACCTCTCAACTATTGTAAAACCATCCCAAATAAATAAGCAATGTCAATCAGTTATCCTATTGAGGGGTTGTGGTAATCTGTGTTTCCTGGCCAGCTGACCCTATTGCTGGATTTTATGGCTTTAGGCTTAGCTGTTGGAAGCTCCAGGTGCGATGTCCCTGCCTCAGCCTCCAGACTTTGTGGCAAGAGAGGCTAGATAGCTAGATAGGCACACAGACCTGTTCTTCCTGTGTTTACTCTTCTGTCACTGTCCCCTTTAAAATGTAGACTGTGTTCTTAGGGACAATTTCCTTCCTTCCCTTCCCTCTCTCAGATGAAGCTCTCCCTTCTCCCTGCACACACCCTTGGCACGATGAGCTAGATGGCCCTCTCACCATCTGCTTCCATCCTTTAGCTAGTAAGTTAGTACTCTATCCTCTCCCTACTCTTTCCTATCGAAAAGTGTACTTCTCAAATAGAGAGAGAAGCAGGGCTTTTTTTGTAGAAAAAGCCCAGCAAGAACTCATTAGCATAATAGGCCACACCCCGATAGCACAGCTCATTAGCATATTAGGCCACACCCCATGACTTCCCTTGGCTTGCCCAGGCGCCCCGCAGCTGCCGGGGAAGGCACAGGGAGGTATTTAAATGCCTCCCCAATCCTTCCAGCCCCCCCCCCCCCGGCCCGCCCCCCCCCAGGCCCCCATAAGTCGCCATGGGTGTCACTCTCCAGGCCTTCCCTCTGTAGCCACGCACACAGAGGTTTTGGCTGTAGTGGGCGTAGCCAACTCTGAAGCCAGACGGAACTCCGTTCCTGTGCGTTCCTGCCCAAAAATAGCCCTGGAGAGAAGTATTTCTCTTCTAAAGTTGCAACATTGCTCTGTGTAGCTTTGTGAGCTGAGTAACCTGGTAAAGTGACGCCGCTGCGTTTGTAGCTTTATTTAAGCACTCTGCTAACGTAACTGGACTAAGCACACCAGTGAACCTCCAATATTAGCCAGACCCCCACTAATGTTTCCAACACAGACGAAAGGATCTCTTATGGGTGGGTTGGCTGGATGACCTCTAGATCCCCACGTGTAGGAAGAGGGTTGAGGCTGGAGCTCTCTGTTGCTTGACCCATCCTTGCTTTCCACCCCAGGGCCTTGGGGTGCTCAGGGCACCCTCTCCTTGACGGGCTCCTCCACCTCCTCCTGCCATCTCTGAGTTCTTCCAGCACGACCAGCAGGGACCTCAGCCTGGTCTTCTGTGCAGAGGTGAGATACGCTCCCAGGTGCTGTGGGGAGAGGGGGGAAGCCTCCAGGAAGAGAAACAGGTTGCATGTGGGTGAGTGGGAGGAAGAGCTGGGCACTGATCATCTTAATGAGTCACAGGCTCTCCCCCCGCCCCACTGTCCTGAGCTTAGTTTTTCTGCTCCCGTTTGATGTGGGCACAGAGTTCCCCCGCCTCTGCCCACTCCAGGGGTTGTCGTTCCAAATGCCCAGATTGGGAGCTCAGTAAAGGTTCTTTGTCCGCCTCAGTTCACAGGTCACCCCTTGCTGCACAGACCACAGACACTCCACCTCCTCCTGCAACAATTGCTGAGCCAGTCTCATGACGGGGATGCCACCAGGCGTCTCTTGGCGGTGCGAGGGCTGGGGGCCATGGCAAAGTGTGCTCCGGAAGAGGTAGGCCAGGGAGCAGAGGGTGGCGTAGGGACGCGTGTACGCCGGACCCTAACTCTTCGCTATTTGGCATCTCTGGTTTTACAGAACGTATCTTGGAAACGTTCCGAGATATTCTGCTTTGGCCCGGGAGCTTTGGGTGTTCCGAGGCTTTTGGGGGAGGGAGTCGCTTGCCAGGCGAAGGCATTTGCTTTGACATGGCCCGCTCAGTCCTTGAACCCCTGAGTTGCCCTTGAACTCCGATGGAGAAACTGGGGGGGGGGGGTGTGTCAAACTGGGTTAGAGCCCAGTTCAGAGCTTTTGAGCAGGAAAGACCGGAGAAAGGAAACTACAGATCACATTTCTCTAAGGAATTGCCCGGCCAGGGGTATTGATGATGTGTCAGGCTGCGATTGGTTGGTTTGCTGTGTTGTCATAGAGAGTCGGACGGGCAGACGGTTGCCTGGGTCTTAGAGAAAGGGCAGGGCAGGGAGAAGAAGCCAGAAGAATCTTGGCCAAAAAGCTGGAGGGGGCTGAAGAAGCTCACAGACAACGGGAAACAAGGGATGCAGGACTACTTGGTCTAGAGTTGCCAACTCCAGCTAAGGAAATTCCTGCAGGATTGTGGGTGAAGCCTGGGGAGGAAGTTCAGTAGGGGATGCAGTGGTGAGAGTCTGCCTCCAAAGCCGCCATTTCCTCCAAGGGAACTGATCTCTATCGCCTGGAGATTAGCTGTAATTCTGGGAGATCTCCAGGCCCCACCTTGGGCTTGGTAACCTGAACCTGGTCCCAAGCAAGGAGGAACAGGCCAGAAGGAGAAGGGGCAAGAGAGGAGAGGGTGCATGGGATCCAGGGCTTCTGCGTGCACCCTGCTCTCAGATCCTCAGGCAGTCAGCCTTACTATCAGGAGTAGACGGTGGGAGGTTCTGAGGATCTGGTCTGGCAGGCCCAAAGCTTCCCCCTGTTGCTGCTGCCCACCAGCTGGCATTCAGAGGCACACTGCCTCTGAACATGGAGGTTCCATTCAGCTATGGTGGGGCTTTGGGGGGATCTGCCCCCTTTCTTAAAGGCACAGCCCCAGAAGAATTTCTCCTGTAAATGCTTTTTTCAAGCATTTCTTTAAAAGTGAGCACTCCTTTAAGCAGAGTGGGGTGCTGTAATTGGCTAATTCCTGCACTGAGCAAGGGGGTTGGAGTAGGTGACCTCTAGGATCCCTTCTAACTGTGTCAAGAAACTAGCCTCCTTTAAGAGAGCTTTTCTGCCTAAGTGTTAGCTTTCTTGACTATAGAAGTCATCACCCCCACTTGCTGGCTTGTTCTCAGAATGGTTGCTTAGGCTGGCAGAAGTGCTTAACTTGCAGCCGCTGAGAACTGTCATCAAAAGGGGTTGACAGCTTGCAGTTTAGAGATCTGTCCTGGACACAGGTTTCTGGTAGTTAGTTTTATTATTACGGTCTTAAGACCAGTCACAGCTTTCCATTGGCTCAATGGCTTTTCCTTCTGCACTGAGAACCCCCATCAGAAAAAAGATTTGCCCCACAAGCCACAAAGTCCTGGCTATGGGCCTGTGGTCCGGGGACCAACCTAGGCACTGACTGACGCAAGGACCGCTCCACAGGCCAAGAAGCAGCAGAAGGCTCTGCTGGCAGCTCTGCTGGACGCTGCCGGTGAAGCAGCCAGCCTCGATGTGGCTGGTGAGGGCCTGTGTGCGCTGGGCAAGATGTTGGGCTGCCTCGGGGGACGCCATCTGGGTCGTGCTCTCCAGGCTGTGGCTCACCAGGCCTGTGCACACCTCCAACAGGTGAGTTATCCCTGGGGCCCCAGCAGGGCATTTCCTGCTCCCGCACCCCAAACCAAGAGGGTCTCAGCTCAGCCGGGAGTCCGTTGGAGGCCCTGCAATGGGATTGAGTGGCTCCTTCCTGTCTCTCAAGGGAGGCTTCTGTCTCATGCACAAACACCCCAGCACAGTCCTGCTTCTGCCTCCCATGCTGCAAACAGGAGTCTGAGAATGGCAGACAAGCTTACAAGGACAAAGTTTGAGTCCTGTGGTACCTTTAAGACCAACGAAGTTTTATTCAAAGTGTAAGCTTTCGTGTGCAAAGCACACTTCGACAGACACAATGAAATAAAATCTCAGACCCCACAAACAGGGAAAAAGAGGGTGGGGGGGCTGCCGTGAGGGAGAAGGTCCCAGGTTCAATCCCCAGCATCTTCAGTAAGGATCAGGTTGTAGGTGATGTTGAAAAACCTCAGCCTGAGAATCTGGAGAGCTGTTGCCGTTTGGAGTAGATAATACTGACTTTGATGAACGAATGGCCTGATTCAGTATAAGGCAGCTTCATGTTTTCGTGAGGGCTGAATGGAACCTCCATGTTCAGAGGCAGTGTGCCTCTGAATGCCAGCTGGTGGGCAGCAGCAACAGGGGGAAGCTTTGGGCTTCTGCGTCTTGCCTCTTTACCTCCTGCATGTATCTTGTTGGCTGCTGCAGCAAACAAGAAACGGGACTAGATGGATCATTGGTGTGATCTAGCAGGATTCTTCTCTTGTCTTCTGAGTCCTTGTACACAGTGCCCTGACCTGGGTAGCCTGGGCTAGCCCGATCCTGTCAAATCTCGGAAGCTAGGCAGAGTTGGTCCTGGCTAGTATTTGGAAGGGCGACCTCCAAGGAATACCAGGGGTGTGATGCAGACTTTGGCAACGGTAAACCACCCCTGAAATGACTCTTGACTTTAAAAATAGCAAGTCTAGCTCGACACCTAGTGGTGCATAACACTAGAACATCTGGCTGCCAGACAATCTTAGGATCTCCTGACTATACCACACACAAAGGCCAAATAATAATAATAACAATAACAACAATAATAATTTGCACACAGTCAGGGCTGGCCCTGTGGTTGGGCAGTACCCACAGCCCACCCCTGAGACTGGATACACACACACAAAGCTGCCTTATACTGAATCAGACCATCCATCCATCAAGATCAGTATTGTCTACTCAGACTGGCAGCCGCTCTCCAGGGTCTTCCACATCACTTCCTGCCTCATCCTTTTCATTGGCCATGCTGGGGATTGAACCTGGGACATTCTGCACGCCAAGCAGGTACTCTTCCACTGAGCCACAGCCCCTACCCATGAGACCCCTAGTCCATCAAGGTCACTATTGTCTATTCAGACTGGCAGCCACTCTCCGGGGTCTTCCACATCACCTCCTGCCTCATCCTTTTCATTGGCGCTGCT